GGAGGGGGGGGGAGGGGAGAACAAGAGGAAAGAGGGGTGTTTTTGAGGGGGAGCCGCGATATTTATACCGACTACTGATATTGGTGATGATTCTTGCCTTTGGCGTGTTTCCATTGGCTCCCGTCCCCCGCCCCGACCGCCGCATTTACTGTGAGTGGTTGATGGTGGTGAGCACCAGGCGCGCCATGATAGGACGGCAACAACAAAAAAAAAACCCTGGGTTCACGCGCTGTCTCTTACTCGAACGGCGGGAGGGCGGTTGACGCCGCGGGGGATGTGAGCCAGGTACAACCCGACCACTAAGAGAGTTCATCTCAGGGCTGAGAGGGGGGACGGCGGCCCAGGGACAGCCCAGGCAGCATCGCCGCCCAAGACAAGCACCTCGAGCAGGCAGGCCTGGCAGGCAAGCAGGGTAGCGCCTAACGGCTGGCCTCTCTCGGAATGGAACGCTGGTGACACTGGAATGACTTCACTGCCAGTTCACACAACAAGCCCAGAGTCCGAGGACAGACGAGGACACCCAGGACCCAGGAGACGTACCGAAATAGGCGCAGTCGAGAACCTCCAGCAGCCCTCAAGCGCCGCCAACCGGGGCACCGCCCGCTAACGCACCTTAATTGTTGTTAACCTCCTTGGGTATCTGTACCCCCGAACCCATTGCCTGAGATATGTAGCGGTACATCTGTCGCCGTCTCGACCCTCAGCTTCAAGCAATGCGCTGTCCTTGGGTCGGTACCTTGCCTTGGATACGCTGGACACAGCACAGGGGGTGGCCAGAAATAGGAATAGCGGCCCAAACCTGGAAACATCAGTCAACACTTGCTGTCGACCGTCGCCCGTTGACCCAGCCATGCGCTGTCCAGTCGCCCGTTGCCGCACGTGAGGCACTCGCAACGCGGGGCTCTTCTCCTGTGCCAAAGACCTCATCACTCTCATCTCCTGAATCTCTTCCCTCATGGACCCCAAAAGAAGGCGCAAGAAGGGCGGTCGGGACCTTTACCCGGGTGTCATTGGCTACGCCTGCCACCGCCGCTGGGTACCGATACATGTCCCGATACACGTCCCGGTGCTGGCGCCGTGCTCCAGGGAGCCCGACCGATAAACCTGAACGTACCTTATCGCCCCCCAACTGGCCAAGCAACACACTGACAACTTGACAACTCATCGGCGGCTCGACCTTCTGCCCTTCCGGTTGGCTCATCGTCTACACCTTCTGGAACGTACTCTGAACTGCAGGATCTGGACTTCACCTCCACCCTCACTGACCCTCTCCGAATCGTCGCCCTCTCCCATCTTGCATCTTGTCCGGCCCCCAGTTGTTGTTGAGAACTGAACCTGGAACCCAGGACCCTGACCACTGACGACTGACTCCCCCCTCCTCAACCACGAACACCGTCTCGCGCGCGTCGCGTGTTCATGGATACCCTACAGGAACCTCTCGCCGCATCATCGATACCTTACCATGCCGCTTGTCTCTCCTGCTCGTCTTGACCTCGAGATTCCACGACTGAGCTTCCGCCAGCACCATCCATCACTCAACCCGTTGCTTCGCATTGGCCTGACTGCCGCCGGCATGGCAACCTTAACTTCACTAGCCACAACCCAAACGGGAACCCAACGCCTGTCCTAGAGTCCCGAGCTGCTATCAAGTCTGCTCATTCATGTCCTTCTAGCCGCATGAACGGCTGCTGTTCTGACAGTCAGGCATATCGTGGTGTCCCCTCCAAACTACCATCTCTCATCTCGTCGTGAACCGTCTGCCCCTCGTCCGAACCATCTCTTGCGCGCCTTTGCCGGACTCAGCCCAACATCCCGGCACAGATCCATCATCCCATCATCCCACCAAGGAATTCCCCCCTCTCCCCCTCTTTCTCGAGAACCCTTTCGAAGCATGCCATACGCACCATCGTCCACCTTCCAGCCTGGAAAGGGCCACCCCTAACAAGATTGCCATGCAGCTAGTCGGGCAGATTCAGGCACAAAACCACCGCCGCCAATCATCTTGGACCACCCCGACCACCCGTCCCGTCCTCCGCCAATCCATACCCCGGCTTGCCGACTGCTCTCCGCTACTCTTCACTGTCGGCAAGCCCAGTGACCTGCATCACCGCCTCAACACCGCTCCTTGCGCCGTACCGACCCATCTCTACCATCGACCATCTCCTCTCCCCGCGCCGTCCCGTCAATGACCAAGATAGCTCGCAAACCCCATCACCCATCACCCATCACCCATGCCTCCTGTTCCTTTTCTGTCAGTCACTCTTCATTCGTCATTTACTGGCCTCGGCTCGGAAATAGGTCTCTCTTGTTGGAAGTCATAATGTTCTAGGTTATTTCGGAATCGTATCCTCACACCCCCTCCAAGTCGTCTCCTCCACCGCCTCCAAGGCACTACACCTCCTTCGACTCCAGCCCGATGCATGCCTTAATCCCTCCTGCAATCTGAGGCATCCATCAAGATAGGAACACCTGACAACCACGTATGGCCAAGCCCGCCAGAACCGGGCCACCGCCGTCCTCACCGCCCGACCTATCCCCCCCGCTCATCTCCGACGAGACCCGTCTCGACCGAAAGTCCCTCAGTGGCCCGCTGCTTCGGCAGCGGCGGCTACCCGTCTCGAGTGGGCAGCCCGGGAGATACTCTCCCTCATGCCAATGAGACCATACATGAGCGCGTACACTGGGCAACCGGTCAGCTTTCTCTCTCTCAACATGTCACTCGGTACCGGGTTACCCACAGATGGGAGCAAGAATGACAAATCCAATCGACGCTGCCACCACGGCCTCGCGCGATCCGATCACCTTCTGGTCGAGCCAGTAGAAGGCATCGGCGCCGGTCTCGATCTTGCCGATGGCTGCCCAACCGAGGTAGAGACCCGCGAAGAAGATGACGCCCAATGTGTGCGCACCAACAGCCTGCACGGTGGTCAGTCTTGTCAGCCGGCACTTGCCTCCCCGAGTTCGGCACTGGCGTCACTCACCAGAGGGCGCTTGATGCTGTTGAGCCAGAATATCTCGAAAAGTGCAATGACTGTCGAGACGAGGAACAGGTTGATGATGACAAAAGCCTTGAACCAGCCTTCACCAAAAATCTCCGTGACTAACATCAATTCGTTAGACTTGGCCATACCAATCAGAAAGGATGACTCACAAGGTCCATGTGGTTTGCCCTTATTGATGTCCTCCAGGCGAGTCATCTCAAAGCCCAACGACTGCTCGTACATGCTCGACGCGTGCGAGCCACCAGACGGCTGGGGCTTGGGGGGCTCGGCGTTCCCATTGTCGTCGTGCGGCAGCTGTACAAACCAGTAGAGGCAGGTGTTCATGAAGGTGAAGACAGTGGTGACTGTGTAGAACATGGTGAAGTAGAACTGCTTGCGGAGGCTGGACATGTCGTAGGGCAGCGACGACAATCTAAGCAACCAGTATTCCTAGCCACGGTTGCTGTCGTCAATGTGCGGGTGGTAGAGATGGGTGTAGGTCCAACCCTGGATGCAACCCATGTCAGTCACTGCAACACGGACCACGACGATGATTCGTACCAGCACCACCAAGTGGTAAATCAAAAGCAGAGAATAAGTGACAATGGAGAAGTCAAAGACGACGCGCCAGTTCGAGTACGGCGACTTCTCTCGAAGCTTGTAGTCGAGGATCATTGCACCGACTGCGGTCAAGTAGGCAACGACACCTCCTCGAATCCAGCAGAGGGCGTTCTGCGGCAGACAACGCCATGGCGAGTGGCATGCTCTCAGGAATGCAGGCTGGCGATTGAATGTAAGCCAAAGCCAGGAGAATGGCCAGAGGATGGGCGAGGAACTCTTACATGGTCTTGGACCTGGCCATAGGCGGCTGGCGTGGGCAATCCCTCGTCGGCATGCCCGGCCTGGCCGTGGAGCAAAGGCGTTCTGACGGAGGCGTCCATTGAGGTGATCCGGAGGCTGGCAGAGAGATTGAGGAAGTGTCAGGGATTCGATACCAAAGAGATGATGGAATAAAAATCGAATCCAAGAAGTTCAGCGTGGATGCGGCTGTGTTATTGATGAAGGTTGAATCAGCAAGCCAAGGATGAGGTCTGGAGCGGGATGTTGGTTCAAAAGGTCGGCGGGACAGTCGAAGACAAGAGGTGACGAGAGGAGAAGTGCTGAGAAAGTGCAGCCCGTGCCTTCCCGCGCTTTGAAAATTGAGCCATGGCTGCTGTTGGGGTTAATGATGTTCACGGAAGGAGGCAACTGCACTAAGGTAGGACGATGATTGACGATGATTGACGCGGAAGGAGTGGGCTCTGTCATGAGGCGAGGCAAGAGGTTGTCGCAGCCTCCTATATTGGGCTGCACGAAGATGAATTTGGAAGGTAATTGCATCCAAGGTACTAGGTGAGGTACGCTGCATCTAGCCTTCTGTCTTTCGATACGTGCAGAGGAGCTGTCTATTCAATCAGCAAGAACACAATGGAAGCAAGAGAGTCGACAAGGTCATAAGTAGCATGGGCCAGAAGTGCTTGCCTCCCGTGCCTATTCTTGTGAGATACCTGCAAGAGCTGCTATGGTTCGGTAGAGAGATACATTCCAATTGAAACTGCCGGCCAGCCTGCTAGAGTCTGGAAGGTGCAGCGTCGACACTGTTGGCGTCCCTCTTCGGACCACGATCTTGGGTGCTGTTGATGGAGGGCATCTGCGGCTCGGACTTTTCTATCCGGCTACCTGACCTTACGTCCACGGGTGTACCTGGCCTTCGGCAGGTCAGACCAATCCACCTTACGTAAGATGCACCATCAGTCACGTGTTCCACCCTGGGTGACATATCCGTGCATGGGAAAAAAGTTTTGGAACTTGGCTCATTTACATTCAACTTCGCAGACAGTAAGGCAGTGAACCCTTGGGCGAGCCTTCTACCAGCTACACAGCAGTTGCATCCAATTCGCGAGGCAGTGAACCTATCCGGCGAGCCTTTGCACGCAAAATGTCTTCAGCGCCTGAAGCTGCAGGTTTGTGCCTTCTCATGCAACGCATGCCGGCCCTGACTAACGACCACTTCAGCTTGGCCTTTGGCCGATGCTGCTCTCACCCAGGAGCTGCTCGATCTCGCTCAAACGGCAACCCACCACCGCCAGGCCAAACGGGGCGCCAACGAAGGTTCGTTGTCTTCACTTCCAAACTTGCTGTCCGCCTGTCCGACTGACTTCTGGATCAGTGACCAAAGCCCTGAACCGTGGCACCTGCGAAATCGCTTTGCTCGCTGCGGATGCTGCCCCTCTTGCCGTCATTCTCCACCTCCCCCTGCTTTGCGAGGACAAGAACGGCCCTTACGTCTTCGTCCCTAGCAAGGCGGCTCTCGGAAGGGCTTGCGGTGTCAGTCGCCCAGTCATCGCTGCCTGCATCACTACCAATGAGGGAAGTGAGCTGGCTGGTACCATCCAGGTGGTGCGAGACAAGGTTGAAAGGCTGGCTATCTAGCTCTCAAGTGATCACGGATTTCTTGGGGCGGAAAGGTGCTCGCCGTAAAAGGGCTTGATCTGAGATGATTCTTGTCTTGGCCCCTCACTAGCTATGTCGCTTGCTAGCAGAAAGACAAGATCGACATTGATGGATGAATTTTGAATCTGTGAATTGTGACTGCTACGGATTACACGCGTGTGTATAGACACTGCCCGGCCAGCAAAACTCTTTTCTAGAGCTGGGCTCATCTGCAAGGGATTCCCTCTTTTCCGAAAATAAGTGATGGCCTTCTGATCGAGAGTTTATCAAACCTGATGTTCCCATGAGAAGCCGCCGTGTTCTTGGCTGGTTCCAAGCCTGCAGCACATGAACCCAGCACAACGAAGCTCAGGTCGGTCCTGGAAAATAAAAGGTGGTCTGTGCAGATCTCCCGCTGGAAGCTGGGTAGCTAAGGTAGGTACGATAAGATAAGATAGATACGTACCTCCCTCCGTTGACACGTTCCACATCCTGAAGACAAGCGCGTGGCCAGTGCTCTTTGCTTCAAGGTTCACTGAAAGTGTCCGAGGTGCATCGCTGGCCAGAACTTCAAACTCCAAGTCCGCCAACCGCACCTCGACATCACGATCCCACTGCTCCTGCCACCGCCGCTCTCACCATGTTGTCGAGTCTCGGAAACCCACGCCAGGCGGCGTCGCAGCTGCTCAACTTTGCGCTCATCCTTTCCACCGCTTTCATGGTATGCAGCCCACCTGCGCCTACCGCAGGGCCCTGCCGAACACTTGCTAACTCGTGCGCGCGCGCAGATGTGGAAGGGTCTCTCCGTCGTTAGCGATTCGCCGTCTCCCATCGTCGTTGTTCTTTCCGGTAGTATGGAGCCGGCCTTCCAAAGAGGAGACTGTACGTCTCCCCCGCCGCACCAGCTTCCAACCATGCGATGCGATGCTGACCGGACGCAGTGCTCTTCCTCTGGAACCGAAACTTCCTCCAAGAAACGGATGTCGGCGAGATTGTTGTATATGAGGTGAAGGGAAAGAACATTCCGGTACGGGACAGCTGCTTCAATCGACGCTTCGTGCGTGCTGACGTGCCCTCAGATTGTCCACCGTGTCATCCAAAAGTTCGGCTCTGGGTATGGCGCCTCCTCTGCTGCTCTTGTGATTGCATTGCTAATTTGGCTCGTCGCCATAGACCACAAGCGAAGCTACTCACGAAGGGAGACAACAATGCGGGTGCGTACCAGACTTGGGAAAGCACCTTGCGGCGGTAGCTAACAGGAAATCAGGAGCCGATCAAGAACTGTATGCCAAGGGCCAGGACTTCCTCGTACGAAGCGACATTATCGGTTCAGTCGTCGCATACATTCCCTTCGTCGGATACGTCACCATCCTCCTCTCTGAGCACCCGTGGCTCAAGACGGTGATGCTGGGAATCATGGGTTTGGTCGTAGTACTGCAGCGGGAGTAAAGCCACAGACGGACAAAAAAGTCAATTAGTTCTGCATTCAAGGCGTTATGGGTTGTTCAACACTGGTTATCAACAAGCGGAGGATGTTGAATTGTTGCAGCAGGGACTGGAAGTGGTTGCACGCCACAACTTGGCTGCTATCGGGATCTAGATGAGTTCACCTGGTATCACGATCAGCATTGCACGCCCTTCGTGCCCTAGGGGCGTCGTGGCCGAGTTCTGTTCCAAGTCCCATACACTTCTGGTGTCGGGCGCCAAGACGTGATTTTGGAAAGATCTTCCAGCAATGTGGTTTAACTAGAGCTCGACGCAAAAAAAAGGTCACTTAACTCCTCAACTTTCCGGTAATAGAGATGGCCCTTTGTGGTTCCAGTCAGACCCAGAACCTCAGCCGCACATCATGGAGGCTGACCCCTTGCTTGGAGCTAATTTCCACACAAGTCTGGAGCGGTAGCGGACATATGTTTCTCTAGGCAGCCAGCGGCGCCGCTGACAGGGTTTCTCAGGAAAATCCGTACGAGAACCAACGGCTCTACCCAATGGCACGACCCTGATCTACGCCACTTCCAAGGGACCCTCCCTCTTTTTAGGTTGCGAATGTGACTAGGCAGAATCCTTCTGATCGCGCGTGCCAGTGCTTGTTGGTTACACACGAGCGGCACAGTCGTGCAATAAAATGAGATCCAACTGCCGCAGCAAATTTTACTCAGTTCGCGTCTCTTAGGTACTTTTCTGTCGATAGCCTCGCTCTTTTCTCAAACTGCCCTCGGGAACAACCAGTCTTTCGTTCGCACCCTTCACGTTAGTCCTTGTCCGTCATCACCAGACCTCCCGATTTCATACTCGTCAGTCCGCGCAACATGCCCTCCCCGGCGCATCAGTCGCAATACGTCCTTCAGGGGTACCAACCGTACGAACATCAAGGTCACCAGCGTGTGATCCCCTACAGCAAGCCATGGCACATTGCCAAAATCGTGATGCGATGTTCCGACATCGTCTTTAGCTTAATCGTCATCGGCATCTCTGCATACGTCCTGACAATTGCCTTCTCCGGCGGCGCATTCTACGTTATGAGCTGGCTGCCGGTAAGCCGCCGTAGCGCTTCATATCCACTCAAAGTTTCGAGGCTAATGTCTACCTTGCAGGCTGCGGTGGCTATCATCTGGGACACTGCAGAACTCATTACCATTTGCGCAAGAGGAGGCCGACGCGGAATTCACCCAGGCGCTCACGTTGGCTTACACCTAATCTTCTGGCTCTGTTTTGCGGCAGCAGTTGGCCTTCAGGGCACATACATATACTTCCGAGATGTTGATGACTATTATTATTCTTATAGCAGCAGACGGCAGTCCTTCTTCAGGACTAAGGTGGTTCCTATGCAGAACACCATTACCGCCTTCACTGCTCTGTTGCTGTAAGTCCATGGGACCCTCTCCTCTCCCCGAGACTGTTGGAGCTTGTGTGCTAATCAACAGCGACAGCATCAACCACTTCATTCTCTTTGTCCGAGCCTGCGTAGAGACCAACCAGCGCAACTCTCGGCCGCCTGTTTTCATGGTGCCCGTCAACGCGCCCCCACCCATGCAAAGCCAGGCGGTAGCTGGATCCTATGTGCCCTACCCCCACCAACCTCAGCAAGCGTACATTCCAGCGCAACAACAAGACAAGGGAGAACAGGCGGCCGCATCCAACCCTTCAAACGCGGGGCAGTACGTGCCACCTGGACCGGATGGCACATATTATGGTCCGGCTAGTCGTTAAGGTGGTGATAGATAATCTAAGACTGTTTGTGGGAAGAGCGAATTATGATACCCCGCTGTAACGTTCAGGCTCGGTTGGCGGTTGAAAGTGGTGTAATTTGGCAGGACAATTGAAGTAACAGCGCCATCACGGATTATGATGGCAATATGGTGTGGTTCCCTGCCCGGGTGCCAAAAGTGTTTGAACAAAGTGACGACTGTTACTCATCTTCTGATGTTGAATTCAGCGTCCCCTCTCGCGGGTACCTCACCCGGCTTTCAACATGTACATCGGGCACTGCGGTTCTCTTGCATCCACCAGGGATCCCGAAGTCAACAACAGGTTGAAGTGATGAGGGTTGAGAGGAAAAAGATGGTCATATAATAAAGACTTGTTTCATTAATACTACTTTGGCAAATATCACGCTTTGTTGCTCCGCTTAGGTGGACCATTGCACGTCAAAGTCCTTGAACTGAACGACAAGATCGTCCTTGGCATCCTTGGCGGGCCGGGCCACCAGGGCACCAATAGTGAGGTTCCAGTCCTTGCCTGATGAGTCGTCGTCGCCGTAGACCCAGCAGATCTCGCGCAGCGGCTCCTTGGTGCCGTCCTGTTTGATATAGTAGACCCAGAAACCGAGGCCGAGACCATCGCGGCCTTTTTCGATTGTCACGGTGATGCTCTTGGAATCCTCGAAAGCGGTCAAGGGGCTGATGCTCCAGTCGGCCCAGCGGTCACAAGAGACTGTGCTGAGTTGAGGGGTGCCGTTGTAGTACTCCAGGCCGGTCTTGATCCATCTCCGTTCGCGAGTGCCGGAGACGGAGTCAAAGGTGAAGATGAGGCCGGCTTGGTCGTATTGCTCTGACCAGTCTGCCGAGAAGGTGATTTTGGCGGACTTGAACTCGCTCAGGTTCTTGGCTGGGAGAGCATGGACGGGGGCTGCAATGGTTAGATGGACTTCTTGAGATGGCATGAGTATTTACAAACCGTTGTAGATGTTGGTCGTGGGGGGCTTCTTCCAGACATCAGTGCCGGGGCCGGCAGAGAGGGTGAAGCTGTTATTCGACATTGTGAACGTGCCTGCGTCAAGGGCTAATGCGAGCTGAACGTGAAAGATGGCTGTGAGGTAGATTACTGGGTATCAAGGGGCCGAGGATGTTTCAATTGGAATCAAGGGTTCAATGAGCCAAAGTCAGGTGGGAGGTTACGGGGATGCTGGTTTATATAGCCTAAGATGCAGGACTCATGTGGACTTTGTAAGACGCTGAGATGGTGTGAGAATTAAGTTGACCCGGGCTGCCCCGCATCGGGGATGCAGCAGGATGGCCGCCGGGCGTCTTAGGTGCTCGACAAGGTCCACGCGAGATACCTCCATCTTAAACATGACAACGGTCTTGTGGGCCGGTAATCCGCCATGCTCCTTAGAGGTTGTAGATCAAAACAGGCACGGATGTACTATTGTACGGTGCAGAAGAGACCAAACCTGCCTTTGGCAACACATTGAAACTCCAGGTAACCAGGCTTGAGCTCCGGGCCGGACCTTCAAGCCTGAAGCCACTTGCGCTGCGAATGGAAGTAACCGCAACACATCTGTCCTTTTCGCTTACCAATGTGACTAGGACACAGCCCGTCTCATGACAATTGGATCAAGAATTGGACAGTTGTCGACATGCGATTGTCCGGTTGGAAGCTTGAAGATGCAGGGGGGATGTCCAAGGTGACTCGGATCAGTTCCACAACGCGGGGCAGAGCGCTGTGACTCGGCCCACGGGGGCCAACAGTCCGGCTGATCTACGGGGAATTCGGTGGAGACTCCGCAGTAAAACGTGAGCTTTTGGAAACAAGTCTGCTGCGTGGCTGGCTTATTCATGACCGAAGCAGCAAGTACTCTGTAGAGTCTGTCAACTCGCGCACCCGGGTCGGTCCTTGTAAGAAGTTTTTCAACGGAATTCATATTCCCAGAAACGAAGAAATAAGCCGACGAAGGTTTGTTTTGTTGTTGTCAGAGTCCGAGTTTGGGTCGGTCAAGTTGCAATGGTGCCCGCTTGGAATCATCATGTGCTGCTGTCGCTTTAACTCAAGGAGGAGCATGAACCAACCGGACGTCGTTTTGGCGCCATTTCACATCGAAAAGGCCTAACTAGAAAAGGAACAAGAGCCAGCCAGCCGCAGCGGTTCTGCTTAGCTAAGGCAGACGTGGTAAGACCGGCCAAAGCAGACGACAACCTGGATGGAGGGAGGCCATGGGGATTCGAACCGTGGACCACCGGAACGCTGAAGATTACAGTGGGGATTTGCCCCTTTCGGTCCTCGTCAGTGTCTGAGTCAGCGCCGTGCCCCTCTTCAAAGGCCGTCCTCCAGTGGTCGAGGAAGCATTCTGTGCCTGTCGGCTGCAGTCTTCACAGTCATCTCCGAAAGCAAAGGTGCACCTTCCCCCGCTCGACCATCTCGTCGCCCACCCCCACAAATTTTTCATTTCCCGCCTCACGTCGCCGGCCACCAGTATCTCGTGTCTCGCTGCAGCAAACAGCGACCAACTTTCTCACCAACCGCGCTTACACACACGCCTACCCGATTTGCTGTCGATTCGAGGAACAATTGCGTCACCGGACACGCATTGAATACGCACAAAGGCGCGTCTTTCAAACTCAACCTTTCTCTCTCCATCTTGAGGCGGGCTGTGCCTGTGCCTGCCTGGAGGGGGAAGAAGAAGAAGAAGAAGACGAAGACGACGAAGAAGAACGGGAAAGGAACGACCGAAACCTCGACACTGCCCCTACCTTACAATACTTCTGTGCGATCCTTTGCTGTCGCTGAGAATAAAAAGACCCCAAGCTCAACTGCTTGCCTCCGAAGAGCACTCAACTCGCTACCATGTCGTCGTTTTTAACGCCCACCAAGAAGTCGCAAAAGCCCCAAACCAAGTCGAAGCCATTCCAACCCCCAAACCGAATTCGAGCGATTCGCGAACAAGCTGAACGTCAGCAAGCCAATGCCGCTGCTGCTGCCGCCAATGCTGCTGCTCAAGCACAACTGAACCGCGCCAGACCTGCTACCGTCGCCGTCTCCAAGGGCCCGCAATGTCCGAACAAAGCATGTGTCAAGCCCAACGTCGTCGACGGCGTCTGCCAGACCTGTGGTCGTGTCGCTGACGACAGCAACATTGTCGCCGAGGTTCAATTTGGCGAGACTTCCTCCGGTGCTGCCATGGTCCAGGGTAGCTATATTGCTGCCGACCAAGCTGGTGTCCGGACCCTTGGCCCTGCCTTCCGCCGTGTTGGTGGCTCCGACGACCGAGAGAAGTCCATCCGCGAAGCCCGTTCCCTTATGCAGGGTTACGCTCATCAGCTGAATCTTGGCGAGAACACGGTCAATACTGCCGTTCAAATTTTCAAGCTCGCCTCGCAAGCCAACTTTGTTCAGGGTCGAACTTTGGTTATGGTAGCCGCAGTGTGTCTATACGCTGCTTGCCGTACGGAAAAGCCTTGCCGCATCATGCTCATGGACCTTGCCGGTAAGCACACACACGTTTCCCTGATTCGACCACCATAATACTAACAACAAATCGCAGATCTCACACAGTTGAACGTTTTCAAGCTTGGCCGAGCCTTCAAAGCACTCAATGCCACTGTCTTCATCTTCGACAACGGCGAAGGACAAGTTTTCCCCGAAGATCTCATCTACCGGCTGGCAAGCAAACTTGAGTTCAAGCACATGACCAACCGCGTTGCCGAAGACGCCATCCGCCTGGTGCAGCGCATGAAACAAGACTGGATTGTCATGGGCCGTCGACCTTCTGGTATCTGCGGCGCTTGTCTTCTGATGGCAGCGAGAATGCACAACTTCCGCCGAACTGTCAGGGAAATCGTTTACCTTGTGAAGGTGACCACACATACCATCCAAGAGCGTCTAACAGAGTTCAATGTGACGGACGCCAGTAAGATGACGGTGGAGGACTTTTTGGCCCAGGACTTCAGCTCCAACTCACACGACCCTCCGTCCTTCTACAGGAACACCGAAAGCTGGCAAAAGAAGCAAGAGGAGCTGGGCAAGAAGCGCAAGCGTGCTGTTACAGATGACGGAGAGACCGTACGGGCTACACCGGCACCACTGCCTCCGCCTCCTGATCTGTCATCTGCCCCCGCAATCGAGTACCGCCGCGACAAGGACGGCTACATCATTCCTCCATTGCCGTCCAAGATTCAACAAGATGAGCCCGCACTGCGTGACGCGAACAGCAAACAACACTTGGAGACGCTAGCCGAAGAGTTTGGTGATGCAACGACAACGAACGATGAATCTTCGCAAGCAGAACCGGAGGCCGAAAAGACCACAAAGGCCAAGCCGAAGCTACCGATCAACGAAGCATGGGAGCAGGACGAGAACGAGATGGAAGAACAAATCTCAGAAATCATGAACGACCCCGAGACATACGAGCACGCCAAGGCATTCAGCAACGCTGAACAGCGAGCACGCATCCACTCCATCTGGGCACTACAACAGCAGCCTGACAAGGCCGTTTCGATGGCTCCGGTGGTGGGTGAAGACGAATTTGCCGACGACCCCGAGGTCCTGAACTGCTGCTTGACCCCCGAAGAGATCAAGATCAAGGAGCTTCTTTGGGTCAACGAGAACAAAGATTGGCTGCGCCAATCTCAGGAACGACTCTTCCGCAAGAAGCTCGAGGGCCAGAAGGAGAAGCCCACCCGGAAGCGTAAGAAGAGGCCTCGCATTGGCGAGGGCCAGACAACTCCTGCAAGTACCCCCGGAGAGGCTGCCGTGAACGTCATGAAAGAACGTGGCTTCTCGAAGCGTATCAACTACGACGCCATTCGGCAAATGTTTGATGTCCCTGATCGCGGCGACCCTGGATCTCGACCAGAGAGCGAAGCTGCCAGTCGCCCGACCAGCAAGGCCCCCAGCGTGCTTGATGATCCCATCGCTGATGACGAGAGTGACCACATGGGTGGCAGTGGAGACGAGATGGACGACCATCAAGACGACGAGTTCGGGGGCGGTGATGACTACGACGACATGGGCGACGAGTCACACATGTACGATGACGACGATCAGGGTATGGGCGAAGATGAAGACGAGGATGACTTCGGACTAAACGACGACGACGAGTAGTTTGATTGTTGTGATTGCTGCTTGATTCGTCGTCACTGGATGGCTGCAGGTGGCGAAAATCGGTTGGGAGGCATGTTTTATTGTTTAGATACCCCAAGAGCTCATGGCATATGGCCTCGGCAGACTACAACAGCATCGCTGCCATGCATGTATTTCACGGATAGAGGGTGTAGATTGGCCAACAAGAGTCCGTGGTCATTTCATCAAATTAGTTTTTACATCGTATATCTGTGCGTCTATCCACCCACTCGTAAACCCAAACAGGAAAAAAGATTGCCATCCCGCAAACACCAAAACCCCTGGACAGAGAGAAAAAAAAAAAAAAAAAAGCCAAAGAACGTGAGCCATGGGTATATGCCGATGAAACATGCGCAACCATCCAGCGCGGATAACATCCCAAGGAGCGAAACAAGAAATCAAAAGTCGTCATCGGCAGCATGCTCCCATCTCTTGCCACCAAGCTTGCGCACCTTCTTCGGGCTACCTGTGCTTCCAGTGCTCGCGGTGCTCTCGTTGCTAACGCGCAACCGTTCCATCTTCTTGCCCAGGTTGTTGAGCCCGCCGCTGCTGTCTGCCTTGCGGCCTCCAAAGTCCTCGCGCTCGGAAAGCGGTTTGCGCTTGCTGGGGCTCCGGCCGGCGAGCTCGCGCTTGAGAATCTCGTTCTCGCGACGCAGTCTCTCGTTCTCCTGCTCAAGGTTTTCCACCAGTAGGTTTTCTTTGTCCTCGCCAACGTCGTCGTCCTCTGCTACTGTGACACCGAGACCCTTTTCGAAAAGCTCCATTTTGCGATCCCAGTGCTCTTCCCCCTTTTCTTGCTCCGCCGCCAGGGTTGCCTTCCACCGCGCCAGCTCAAGCTCGAAACGGGTGTCGAATTCGGCCATGCAATCTTCACGTATCGTCTGTTCAAGCTCAATCAGGCGATCCTCCATGCTGAGGAGGTGGGCCTCGGCACACACTCGTGACTCGCGCTCGTGATCCAGCTCGATGTGGAGGTTTGTGATCTCCTCCTGCATGCGAGCAATCTCGAGCGCAGCGTGTTCCATGAGGACTCGGTCTCCGTTGTCAGAGCCAGGGGAGAAGTTCCTATGTCCTCCCGAGCCGTGACCGAAGTAACCGCGACGCTGAGGAGGAGGAGGATAGTCAGGAGAAGTGAGAGGCGGGGACGCGTGAGAAGTCAAGGGGGTTTCTGCAAGGATAGTGGACGTGATGCTGGGAATACGCGGAACCGTGACTTCTCTCGCCAGAGCACTGTATCTGAGAATCTGAGAAGTTGCGTTGAGGTCACCGTGTGCGTCTGCTGTGACGACCATGACACCGCGCTGCGGGTTGCGACGAACAGCCACACCAGAGGACGAGGTGGAGAAGGAGTTGGAAAAGAGGAGCTCCGTCATCTTGCACTGGCGGAACGGCATGACGCTGGGCTGGAAAGGAGAGGGAGGTTAGCTTCTGTCGTAGTATGCCTGGTGTGCAACATGACGTACCTTGTTGTTGCTTCCCAGACTGCTCTGGGCCTGCAAGCATTGGCCCAGGTACATGAGGCTCTCGTTGATCTTGCCAGCCTCCGCAAGGGTGGCACCTTGGGTCTTTGCATCACGAGCACGTTCACTGCCGGCGAGATCGACAATAGTCAGGGCATTGCCAGCCCAAGTCCGGCTGCAGCCGACTCTGGGGCGCTTCTTCACCTCCACGCAGAAAAAGCCATGGCTTCTGGACGACACGCTGTTGCTGCCGGTCCCCGCCACTTGACGCTCATGCAGTCCAGCCTCCAAGACCATAATGGCTTCTCTCATGTTAGTGCAGGCAATCTTCTTTAACCCGGCAACCACCTTCCTATCGGCGGACTGCTCTGTCGACTTGAACAAAAGGGGCCGTCGGCGGTACTCTTTCGTGGCGTTCGACTTGATCGGCGGGGTCAAGAGATCGTAGATTTTGTCATTGTAGACTTCGTACATGGAAAGAACGACGGCGTAGTCGGCATCGGGGTCGGAAGAAACGTTTATGGAGCTGATGTCGGGGGCTTGGGGGAGGTTCGAGGGTCGCTGCAGAGCTCGTCGAGGCGTCTGTGGAGGATGATGTTCGCCCTTTGCGGAAGTTTTAGCATGGCTCTTAGTCTGTGAGGCTGCGGTCATGGTCATGAAGTGTTTCTGCGCATCTTGAAGACGCTCAGGTGTTTGGTGAAGAATGGACATTGAGAATTCATGCGGACGGCGATGTCGTGGCCGACTCGGAGTTGAGGGCACCAGCCGCACACCGCCTATATCCATCAATGGCTGCTGCTGTCTCTTGTTTTGACGCGTTGCATCGTGGGAAGAAAAGGGGTCGGCATAAATAGATGGGGTTCCTACCATCATTGGCGTGCCTGCTCTCGATCCTCCTCCGCGGGATGAACCAAAATCGGAAAAGACGGTCTCGAGAAAGTATGGGGCTGACATGATGGTTGCGTCGGAGACGTCGGCGGCCTGGAGAGAGCCTTCGAGGCTGGGAGAGTCGTACATGTTGGAGCCGATGGATCGGAAGACGACATCCAGCGCAAGCTGGGTCATGCCTCGTTGGGTTCGAGAACCAAGAATTGTGTGAGACTGCAAAATCAATGTCAGTCAAGTTCTGACGGCAAGCGATGGGTGCCATGAGCGGGAAAGCAGTTTACCTTTCCGGAACCAGTGACACCAAGGGTCGCAATCAAAGCATCTGTGCCATGGCCGCCATGGGGAGCCAAGACACCTTCGACCAGCGACGCGATGCCCGTGGAGTGGAAGACATCGAGCTGGGTGGCATCCTCTTCGAAAACCTTGGTGAAGGCGAATTTCTCGGTCGAACGCTTGCGGTCATTCGGAGGGTTGAGGGTGATGTGTGTCGGATGGGAGCCGTCTGCTGGCTCTTCAACGCTCAGAAATCTGTCAGAGGATGCAACTCCAGCCGGGGGCGGCCTCAGTCGCAGGTAGACCTGGAAGAGGTTCGCGGCCGACTTGTTTGATGACGTTGAAGCATCCATCGTGTCTGGTAGTCGTGTGTCTCGTGCTGTTGGGTTAGTGATGCTGGTATATGGCGAGACCCGTATGGCGTTCTGTCGGTCGAGGTTGACTGAGCTGAGTCCGACGCGCGAATCTTTGAGGAGCTCGCCAAAGGCATAGAATCCTTGTTTATGCCGGTGACCGGGCAACGGAGACGAGATAAGATATGATAAGCGATTTTAGCTTCGATAAGCGATAAGAAAATGGGATGGAGGGCCGTGCACTTTCCCCTGATTTTTGCATCGCTTTCTTTTTTGACCCTCTCAACCCCGCCACGTTTTGCACGGTGGACCCCGCTGAGACACAGCTCTTAGTGGGGCTTGTGCTTTGCTGGTGTGGCGTCGGGTCCGACCGAGGGGGAGGGGGGACCTGGCCGAAGCGAGTTCCATGCTCGGGGACCTGGGCCCTGGACAAACCATTTCGCCTCGATCCAACCTCACCTCCCACTCTGCATGTACTGCGTACTATGTATGGCGTAGGCACGCACTTGACCTTATCTTGGATCTGACGTGGTACGCTCGCGTTGACTTTTCTCGTGCGTGGGTGGGCATTTGCACCAAGGACAGGACTTCCGTAGCTTACGGCCCGAATGGTCAGGCATTTTGCAGTCTTTGGCTCTGGCGAATGGCAGCATGGTTGCGTCGTCTTTCGTTGGTTGAGTCAGACCACAACGCCTCAAAGTCACTGTGATGAACCCCAAGTCAAACCATGAAACATCAAACAGACGTCTTGCCTCTTGTGATGCACAACGGACAGGCTGTATCAGCAGGTGTCTCTTCGTCGGAAGAAACCTCCGTCGTCAGTCATGTATGCTCCCCCTCCTGGTAGAGTTTTCAACCCCTTTTCGAAGAACTGGCAGAGCTCTCTAGCTTGCGGGACAGAGTTTTTTTTTCCCTCTCCCATTTGAGGCTCAAAGTCAAATGGTTGAGGCCGGCGCAGGCATCACCCAGCGGGCTAGCAACCCCTCATTTTCCGTCATTGAGTCATGAACGACAACAACGGGGACCAGTGCCGTTCAAGGCTGACCCCTATGACTCCCGTGTGACTGGCCGAAAATTTGGACTGCCTTCGATGGACCCTTTTCTTGCAAACGACATCGGACAGCACCGAGCATCTGAGGAAGCGGGAAGCTTGCACCGGGCCCCGCAAGAGCTCTCAATTCCCCCCCCCTTCTTTTGTCTCTTTCTACCTCCCCTCTCTCCTTGCCTCTCTGGCTCATGCTCATCTAGTGGAAGTAATGGTCCGGTCCTGCAGATAGCGTAGATGAATGTGCGCCAGCTTGGAACTCTGAAGCAGTTGAGCATAAGCTCAAATTGCCGCTAGAGGTGACTCAACATTCAGACGCAGACAAACCAAATAACTTGGATCGGACGAAAGAAATTACGGCTTGTGCAGAGGATGTACTGAATGCTTGCGCAGTACGGCGCGGTAGTAAGTGCTCGTCTGCAACAGCAGGCGGACACAGGATGATGAGCTGGCCATTCTCGTCTTGCCCCTCGATGTCCCCTCGACTCGACTCTGCCCCTCGCTCGACTTTTCCAGGAGCTACTGGATGCCCCTCGATGTGCCAAGCCGAGGCGAATCAGGAGACCGCCTACCTATTTTGCATATCGAAGCTCCATACTTCGCCGCAAGTATTCGTAGCGTCCCATGTGCAGGCAAGCAGTGGATCACAATGGAGACGTGGACGTTGTGGAGGCACCGCTCGTCACAGCAGTCCAATGCAAGTGAGGAATGGAGATGTCTTGCCCATGAAGAACATTTGGGAAGCCATGGAATGTGAGGCTTTGGCGCCGTATGGTCCACAATGCTGCACCAAGAGCCCAGCACCGGCCATCAGCTGCGCCTCTCTCGATGGCTCCTCTGCTGCCGCTGCATTTGCTAGGCGCCGAGCTGACGAAACGGTGAACGAGGCATGGCATCTCCCACATCTGTTGTAGAGCGTCGTCTGCTATGCTTGCATAGGTACCTCAAGATGTGATTGAAGATATCGCATACGTAGAGATCTTCAGCCATGCAAAAGGTTCTCAGCGGGTCACACGCAATCCCAGATATTAAATCTCACGCAATGTAGGCATGATCAGCCCGGTTCCATCTCGATCCAGACCAGGTCGACGGGTGACGACAGCGAGGAGGGGGAAATCTGGCGAAATGGACGGGAGAAGATGCGCTGGAGGGAAGGAGAGCGAGGTGACACTGGACATTGCAGCCAGAGGGGAGGGGCAGAATTGGCTTGATGAGGTCGATGGTCCAGCAGAGGCCTGTGACTGTGAGGTGAGGGGGGTCTTGCAGCCAGGCACAGGGGTTTCCTCCACACATCACGGCACCAATCCACTAATGACGGTGCTTCTCCAGCGTATTTTTCCAGCGTCTGCAGGCCACCTGTAGGGGCCGCCAGGGGTGAACAGGCGCAAAAAGGCGGTGACGGTGTCCCCAATCTGGCCTAGCGCGGGCTTCAATACCCACTTTAAGCGAGCCAGACGATGCCAGATTCCCAGACTTTAGCGACCCCACTGAACCAGGACCCGGTACGGGCCAAAAAAAAAAAAAAAATTTGGGCGATTTCGAGGGAAAAAAAAAAAGTTCGATTGGCTGTGGAGACCCCGGCAGCCATACATTATTTTCGGAATCCAGTTGTACCTTACCTCCCTCCTCCCGGTCCTTCTCTTTTTTTTTTCCCCCTTCTTCAACCACCAATTCAACCCCAAACCACCAGACAACGAAGTCGCCCTAGCCACAGAATATTCGAACAGAACAGTCAGATACCCTTACCAAACTTCGTCGAGATCATGTCGCCCGCTTTCGCTGAGCTGTAAACGCCCACTGCGGGGGTGCCTGATCGAGGCGCCTCTGCAGTCCAGCAGCCCATCGAGACATTCAATCCTCTCTGCTTTCGACGAAGTGATCCCCCAGGCTTTCACTGTCCAGAGCCCTCCCGAGGGAACGGTTCTGGCCCATTGACGGAAGTCTGCATCTGATTTCAATTCCAATCGACTACTTTTGCCCGACATTCACTCGGCTACACTACGCCCATCCGCTACGAAGAACACTACTGCTCTCTATTAACCCCTTCCTGCCGGCATCGCGACCTACCGCCTGTCTCTCCTCCCCTTCTCTATAATTACGAAAATCGGTATCAACATACCACTACACCAGGCGAAAGACTATCTCTAGTCTACCTCAACCACCATTATCACCAGCTTGATATTCCAACGGCACCCTCACCGCCGCTACTCCAGACTTCACCCCACATTCCCAATACCACCGTCTTGGGTTTCACCCCCTGCATAATCACCGCCATGTCCCGCAACGTTCGCAACAAGTCGTCTGCGGCTTCTCGCAAGGCCGCAAAGCGTCGCGATTCAGTCACCTCCTCCTCGTCTTTCAACCTTTCCGACGACGACGGCTATTCCGCGGTTGAAGATATCAGCGACTCCTCCGATGACGACGATGAGGATGTCGTTGCGGCCGAGGAGGAGCATATCCTCCACGAGGTGCTGCCCCCAAGCATCTCAAGCTCTCTTCGGCCGCCCATTGTCCAAGAAGAGGACGATGAAGACGAAGACGATGACAACGATGATCAAGAAGAAGATGATGACGAGGAAGAGGGCGCTGCCGACGTCGAGGACAGTGCCAGTTGGGACGGCATCATGTCTGATGTCGAGGAGAGTGCCGCTTCCGACCACCAACATCACCGGTCTGAGCCAGTAGAGCGCCATGTTCGTTTCGACGTTCCCTCGAGTGATTCCGACTCTACCGACACCGAGGATGACCATGCCGATTTCTTTCCCGACATCTTTGTGGATCAGAGTTCACTCGATCCGGCCTTCCGCCGCGAGATCGAGAATGATGATGAAAATGACGAGTCCGAGAATTCCAATTCTTTCTGGGATTACCATGGCGACTACCATGGAGCCTATGACTACGCCCCTGACGCAGATTCGGAGATCGAGGCTGTCATTCAGGAACTTGGCGACGACGACACCCCTATTGCTACCCCCATGACCGCGGGCGACGTCTCCGAAATGCCCACTCCAGTCGCAGCTTACGAGGAAACTCAAGAGCTGGACGGCTACGAGAGTGAGTTTGTGCCTCGTGATGCAGATTGCGATTCGAAAACGTGATTGCTGACGTGCTTGTCCAGCTGATGGTGACACCACCGAAGAAGATGAGCCTGAACCTGTCGTGCGCCGCAAGATTAAGCGTCCCGAGCAATCCGCCGACCAGTGGGATGACTCCGACACGGATCACCCGGTCAAGGGCGAGCGAGGACAACCTCGCGTTGGCCGCTTCAACCTCGACAGCTCTGAGCGCAAGCCTATCGCCGTTGTGAACCCCATCTCTAGAAAGATGATGATCTTTACCCCTCATCGCCGCCGTCACCTTGACTTGTCTCCGGAGCAGTTCAACTTCTCGTACCTTGCCCCCATTGACGAGAACCAGAACTCGCCCATGCTCAGCAACTCGGCTCAGATCATGATGAGCGCCATGTTCTCTTCCAATACATTCGGTGACTACCTCAATACTCAAGCCATGGGACCCGCCGAGGCTTTCTTCCCCTTCCAGTCTGAGCCGAACACGGCCGATGAGAGCTCCTCAGTGGAGATTGAGGAGGATGAGGATGAGATTGAACGAAGCCTCGACATCAACGACTTTATCGAATTCGACGATACGAGGTCTCTTGACGGCGAGGACGAGAAACAATGGGACGGCGATGCCATGAACACCACTCCTGGCCGCCCGCGCAGCTCAAGCGACATCGACCTCCATTCACATATCAATGCGAACAACGTCGGAGCCTTCCGTCGTGACCAGATCAACCAACGACTTATCCTGAGCGACAAGGCTACCCAAGACTCCCTCGCCCTCAGCAGCCCTTACAACTACACCGCTCTCCGCGGACTGAAATCCGACCGTTTCGAAACGGCGGCCGTCCCCCTAACTCCTCTGCGGCGTTCCAAGAAGCAGATGCGCGATCTCGCGCGCAGCCCCCTCGAATCCATGTCCCAGAAGCGCAAGGCGTCCAGTGAGGTCCCCATGGCCCACAAACGCCAGCGCAGCATCTCGGACGTCAACCTACTCAGCATCTAGTACGATGCTTCGGTACTCGACCTCCCTGAAATATAACGGTTGAGGATGGCGTGGCATGATAGTCCTCCAAAGTGACGGGCACTTGCCATCCCTGGCCTCATATACTTTGCACCCTGTTTCTTTCTCTGTTTTCTTGTGGTTCTATCTCTGAAAAAAAAGCGGCCCGTCAGACGAAAAGACGGTAGATAAAAGTTACTTGGCGAAGGTGCCAATGCCTGGCTCACATGCAGCGAATCACGTTAGACCTGGACTTGCACTATGTCTTGGTGGAGCTGAAGGAATTCCTCCGCGAGGCGTGAACGCATACAGCGCTTGACGATGTCGACGTCTCCTATAGTTATCAATGAAAATTATGATATTCAATACTTCTGTCTGCGGATGTGCTTTATTTCTTACGCCAAGTTTGACCACGCGTACTGCTCTTTGGCTTTCCTAGGGCCGTTCCGCATCATGCACCTGGTCTGCAGCAGCGGCACAAGTCAATTCAATCGAATGCGAACGTCATGAATGGTTTCCTCACCCTGAAGTCTGACTTATGTACAAGAAGAGAAAGAACATTGAAGCTAACTGCGCGTTCCACCCGTCCCCGCGCTTGTCATATGAGGAGGCGCCTGAACAACGTCCTCATCACTTTCATAGCAGACCCATCGAGCTCCAAGGCTCGGAAGCCCTTTAGCTGTACGTGTCAATGGCATTGTTAAATGCCGTCTCGATCTGCGCAACCAAGGTTTTCGCTGCACCCTGTAGTGCCTCGGGCACCTTCTCAACGACAGCAGCGCTGAACTTGTCGGTCGCACTCTTCTCCTGCTTGAGGTTGAGGAGAATGATGGGGCTCAGGAGGAGCTTGTCGAACTTGGGCTTCGCGTCGACAACGTTTCCGAGAGTGGTCTCGACACCGCCCGCAAGTTTCTGCGTCGACTGCGCGACGGTGATGGCCTCAATGGCGTTCAGAGGCTCCGAGTCCTCGGCGACCTTGGTGGCCTCGTTAATCTTGACGAGCAGTTTGGTGGAGTCGATGATGATGGGAAGCGTGCCGAACAGGCCGCCGTCCCAAGATGCAACGGTATCGCCCAGCTCCGTGTTCTGCGTGGCGATCTCGTCCATGGCGGCCACAATGGCAGCACCATCGGCAATGACGAAGGTGGCAAATAGGCCGAGGAGCGAGAACTTGAGAAGCATGTTGGCGACAGTTGCCGACGGATAGAGGCTATGGGAAAACGGTGCACTAGCTTGACGATTCAAGGCTGGAGATGAGGAGGACGATGGATACGGCTCTTTTCATGATTGTTGTCAGTTCCAAACGGACCCTTTTATACTCCCACTTCAGTGATCCCAGCTGAAAACCATCTTCATCTGTAGGGCATCGTCGCGCGACCGCCATGTCAATCGAGCTATTCCTCCGCCTATCAAAGCTGCTCATCGCCTCGCGGCCTGCCATCGATGTCATCTTTCCCCGCAATCCATATCAAGGAGGAGTGACACGATGGCTCTGCCTAGCCGGAGACGAGGTGTGATCGCGCGAATGCAGTTCCGTGTAGTTGAGCAGCACTTCACATGTCCTCGGCCGAGAAATTGGCCCAACTCACCAACATGTAGAGAAACAACACACAAATCATCGCAAACACATGCTGTTCTACAGGGGATCCTGACAATCCAAGCCGAGGAGAAGCAGGGGCTTTACCCCAGATTATGTCCCCATCCCCTGAACACCCCGCTGATCACCACTTGACCCCTCATGCAAGGTTCCTGCCGATGTGACTACTCAAACATGAGTGAGGGACGCAAATTGCTATCATTGGACGGCGCTAGATGACGCCGGCGCCGGCACTGGTCATTCTGGCTCAATTGCGCTTTGGGGTCGGGCAGTTGAGGCGAGCTGAGAGTGGCTGGGCGTTGTGGTTGGTGTAAGCCGGCGCACCTTTTGCCTTTTTGGACCTGAACCAATGGTTCCTCCGAGCTTTCGCGTCCGAACGAGACAGTCTGCGTAGTTGCGATGGCAGGGTCGAATCACCTGCGTCTCTGCAGAAATGACGATTTGACGGATTGAGAGCTGAAAAGCTCTAATAAAGTCCGTTAGAATTGAAGGTGCCATCTCAAAGTTAGGTGGAATAGTGCGCTTGCCCTCTTGCCCAATTGTTTTTAACATTACTTCCAATGGGTAGGGCCATTTGTCGTAAGGATCCTCTATTTGCTTTCTATTACTTCCACGCTTTCTTGATTCCAGCAATTCAAGCGACCATGGAACATAGTTCATAGCATAACCCATGTGATTACCATGGCAGTCTTCATTTCAGCGAAGCAATGAAGGCTGAAGCTTGCGGCCGTCATGTATCCACACAGCGATACTCGGGAGGCAACTCGCGTGTTGGGCCGTAACATTGGAGACCTGATTCGTACACCCTATACTCTCTCTGCACGAAGCTAAGCTGTACATTTGCTGGGACTCTGATGAGGAAATCATTGGCGTCAGAAATACTTCTCGAGGCTGTCATAACTGACAATCAGTGTGCACAGCTACACTCTTCCCAGTCAGCTCTCCGTGGTTTTCCAAAGAACTCGTCAACATTTTGAAAGTGAATATCATTAATTATCTCATGGTACATAAACCGCGAAGCCTCTTGCCTTCCAGTAACGAGTCTGTTTCATCCCTCCTCGGCGTCCATGTTGTCGTGACGCCTCTTGCCACCTTTGCCGCCCTTGAAGGCCGTACCCCGCTTGCCCTTGGCGTCCATCATGTTCTTCATCTCTATACGGGCGACTCTTTGAGCTTCCTCGACTCTCGTCTGGAACACATCCACCTCGTCCTTCTGGGTAGGGTATTCGGGCAATTTCTTGCCCAGGGCTGCCTCAATCCGTAGGTAAATCTCAAGATCGTACTGGGTCATTATGGTAATGGCCTTGCCGGATTTTCCCGCACGTGCCGTGCGACCTACTCTGTGGACGTATGTCTTGCTGTCGGACGGAATATCAAAGTTGATGACAACGTCAACTAGAGGGATGTCGAGACCTCGGGCCGCGACGTCAGTGGCGACGAGAATATCGCGAGAGCCTGCCCGGAATTTGTTCAGCGCGCCCAAACGTGCCGTCTGGTTCAGCTGTCCATGGATCGGGATAGCCCCGAAACCCAAGGTACGGAGCAGGATGGCGAGTCTCTAGACAGAATGTGTTAGTGGACATCGGTGATCAGGCGAACATGTGAGTTTCCAAGGCTCTTGCTCTTGCTCTTATGGGCCCAAACCAGAAAACCGCCTATGACTTACTTGTGTCTCTGTGACTGTTCTTGTGAACAGAACTATCTTCTTCCCGGAATACTCGTTCACCAAGTAGACGAGGTATGTGTCTTTCTTGTTGTGGGGGCAAAAGATGTAGTTTTGGATAAGGGTCGACACAGTCTGGTGGCTGCTGGAGCTGATGCTGATGCGCACGGGGTCGCGCAGACTAGCTCGCTGAAGACTCTCGATTTTGGAACTCATGGTGGCGGAGAAGAGGAAAGTTCGACGTTCACGGGGAATGAACTTGAGGATCTTGTCGATGCTGGGTCCAAAATCCATATCCAAAAGTCTGTCTGCCTCGTCCATGACCAAGTACTTGAGCGAACGCAGAGAGAACCCTTTTGTCTTCTCGAGATGGTCAACCAAGCGTCCAGGTGTAGCCACTACAATATGAGGCTTCTTGCCCAAGGCGATTGCCTGGGCGACCATGTCCAGCCCACCGACGATGACTGCGACTCGAAGGTTCACTAGCGAGCCTAGGGCTTCGAAACTTGCGGCGATCTGGGCTGTTGAGTGCAGGTGATTGATTAGAGTTTATGTTCAAAGTTTTAGCAGGGTGACTCAAGCGGCCGCTTACCCGCCAGTTCTCTTGTGGGCGCGAGGACAAGACCGAACAGATGGCTGGGCTTATCGAGGAGTGCTTGAATGATGGGCAGCCTGTTGAGAAAGCTGTGAGCCTGCAGGACATCGCAGAGCGGTAATCTGTATAACTCACGCAAAAGCGGCTGTCTTTCCACTTCCAGTCTCGGCCAACCCAATGACGTCTCTATTCTGCAGCGCATGGGGGATCGATTGCGCCTGAATGGGTGTGGGATTTGTGTAGCCGAGTCGGTCGCAGGCTTCAACAAGAGAATCGACAATGCCCTGGAGATTTCTAGATTAACCGGTGTTCAGTCGAGCAGCAAGCACGGCCAACTCACGAGGTCCTTGAAGGTCTTTGCGCTCTCAGCTTTGTTGGCGGTGACATCTTCCTCCGGCTCCTGCTCCGGCTCGGACGTGGACTCGACAGACTCGTCGGGAGATGCCTCCTTCTGGCGGTTGGCCTTGGGCGGAGGGCCCCCGTGGGAAATCTTGACTCGTTTGTTCGGTGGCATCGTGGAGGTTGTGTTAGGTTGGTAGTGGCAGTTGGCGCAAAGTGACCCGGGAGAGAAGATGTGCAGAATCAAGGGAAAAAAAAAAAAAAAAGTTACAGCTTCACATCCAGCAAAGCTGGGCCCCGCGGCCTCGCGAAAATCTGGCTTAGGTAAGACACCGCCGGGGAAAGCGGTGTGATAAAACACAGAGCGATTGGACAGGGTGAGCTTTAGAGTGGGTCTCAAAGCATGCAGAATTGGGCAGAAAAGAAAGCGGCAAGAAATTTTAGAACTGGGCGTTCGCCTGCAGGCGCATTTCTCCAGCACCATCTCAAGACCATCACAAGATCCTCCTGCGATTCCGTCCGAGCCCCAGCTTCTCCCCAGGCTCCCATCTCGACCCGTCGCACTCAATTAGACTGCGCGCGATCATTCGAACCTTCTTTTTAAAATACTCAATCGCTCATCAAGTCGCCCACGATGGCGAAGCCTCGCCAAAAAAAGAGGACGCACGTCGGTGCTTCGAACCCCCAGAAGCCCGTCGATGCCAAGGTGCCTAGGTCAATGGTCATCCGTATCGGCGCAGGTCAGGTTGGCAGCAGTGTTTCGCAGCTTGCCACGGATGTCAGACGTGTACTCGAACCAAACACTGCCTCTCGGCTGAAGGAACGCAGAGCCGTATGCCAACGTCCATCGCTCAGCTTCACATTGTGCAAACACTGATTTGGACAATAGAACCACTTAAAGGACTATGTTACTATGGCAGGTCCCTTGGGCGTGTCCCATTTCCTTTTGTTCTCTAGATCCGAAGGTTTGTGTCCCCAACTCGAAGCCCTGTCACCACCCCCGGCTGGATCAGCTGCTAACAATAACCAGCTGGCAACGTCAATCTCAGAGTCGCCCTAACCCCGAGAGGCCCAACATTCAACTTCCGAGTCGACAAGTATTCCTTGGCTAAGGATGTTCAAAAGGCTCAACGGAGGCCCAAAGGCAGTGCGAAAGAGCAGCTTGCTCCGCCCTTGGTACGTAGTTCACAGCAAGAACAGCCCAAAAATCATTGACTGACCCTTTTTAGTTGGTCATGAACAACTTTCACTCCCCCGATTCCGACGCAAAGTCAAAGGTCCCTAAGCACCTCGAGTCTCTCGCAACCTCGGTCTTCCAATCTCTTTTCCCGCCCATCAACCCGAACCAAACTCCCCTCAAGAACATCCGCCGAGTCCTACTCCTCAACAGAGAGCTGTCGCCTGAGAATGATGGGTCTTTCATTCTCAACTTTAGGCACTACGCTATCACAACGCGAGCTACAGGCATCTCGAGACCTCTCAGAAGACTCGATCGGGCAGAGAAGCTGCTGGCTTCGAAGGTTGGCAAGAAGGGCGGCGTACCGAACCTAGGCAAGCTTGAAGATATTGCCGACTTCATGATTGGTGGTGAGGATGGAGAGGGATACATGACGGATGCTACCAGTGGTAGCGAGATTGACACGGACGCGGAGATCGAGGTTCTGGAGCCGGCAGCTAAGAAGATTTCTAAACAACGCGCTGCCCCTGTTGAAGACGATGCTGCGGACGATGCCGAGGGTGTCGAGAAGCGCGCCGTCAAGCTGGTTGAGCTTGGTCCGCGCATGCGTCTGCGTTTGACCAAGGTCGAGGAAGGCTTATGCTCAGGCAAAGTCATGTGGCACGAGTACGTTCACAAGACAAAGGAAGAGATCCGGGAGCTGGAGAAGCGATGGGAGAAGAGGCAACAGGAGAAGGAGGCCAGGCGGAAGCAACAGAAAGAGAATGTCGAGAAGAAGCGGAAGGCTAAGGCCGAGCGTGGCGACACAGCTGGGGATGAAAGTGATGTGGATATGGACGACTACGACGAGTTTGACAGTGAGGGCCTAGCGGGCGATGCGGAATACCAAGTCAATGAGGAGATGGAAGATGCTGGTGAGTGGGAGGACGAGGAGGAAGAGATTGCGAACGAATGAGCGACCTTGATAGAAGAGACTCTCGTTCATAGTAGATCATAATACCCAAGGAGTGGCTGAAGATGAAGGCATCATATCTTCCCTGTGACATGGTTCATTGAACGTCCGCTTCAGACTTATGAGGGTGCGAGTTACAGACAAGGACGAGCGCCGATGCCACGGCTCTGCCACCGGATGCCCAAGTCGTGGAACCGTATCACCAGCCCCTACACCCATGAGGGCACAGTTTCTCATCGTTCCTCAGTTGGCCACCTCAATGGAAAGGGAGCATGTTGCAAGCCAAATTTATGCCCCACAAGAAGACTCCAGCATTTTGCGCATGTGCAGTGTCGAATTTCGCCAAGAGAAATCCATGGTAGAGGACAGCTTTCCGTTCAACGTCGGACTAGGTCCAGTTGGGAGAAATTGCACTTGACCAAGGCTTAGAGTCATGGGATGCTCGAGCTAGGGTAATATTCTCGGGGTTGCGGGGATTGAGTGAGGGGTTTCGAACATCTCCAGATCGGGAAATGTTCAAGTCTCGTATCATTTGATGTGTGACGAGGTGATGAGCAGGCCCTTTCGCGAAACAATGCTATATGTGTGTTTTCGGGTTTGTAATTCTATCCTGTGAAGCGACCATTTTCTGCGTACCACTGACACCGTTTTGCGCGTGACGGTACGACTTTCCGGCACCTCTCCAGATTGGTTCACCTCGTGTCATTTGCGGCCTCAACCCCACCCGAGTTCAATGATCTGGTCATGTCCCAATCGATCTCAGGCCCCCGAAAGCTTTTGTTTCCGTCCATGTACCACAAGAAAACGATAACGAAGAAGAGCCCAACCAAAATGACGGCAGTATAATTCATGCTGGCAGTTGTCGCAGGGAGGCTAAGTGGCATACATATGAAGACCAACAATACCAATGTCCACAAAATGGAAAATGTGTTGCAAACATATCCAGCCCGGCCAAGGTTTAAGTACCGACGAGGCAAGCATCTTTGTCGACCCCGAAAGAGGAGGATGGCTTGTGGAGCTGCATAAGTGATATTCAAGAAAAGGACTGCTGAGGTCACTATTGAATTAAAGGCAGAGGTTGATGCCAAGTACAAAAGACCGTAGAGACAGGAGAATACGTAGGAAGCGACGGTAGTTCGAATGGGTAGATGTCGTTTGCCATCAACATTTGCGAAGTAGCTCGAAAAGGGTACTCCTCTCTGGAATCAGTCAGCAACAGTGCGTAGAGGGGATGACTTCCTGCGTTGCATAACCTACATCGCGAGCAAATGCCCAGGCTAGACGACCACTGGTGACCCATTGTGATGGAAGACATACTGGGACAGATATCAGTGAGACGGGTGGGCTATTGCCGACACGGAACCACTCACCCAGATAAACGAAGAGGATATAAGCGAATAGAGACAAAGTGACTTTGTCGTTGCCGGTCCTGAGACTGCATTAGAGTTGAAGTCGCCAGTGTCGACCGTGATAGGAGTACAAACACCTGGTTTATCAACTCCAAACTAGGCAAACGAGATGAAATAACTGCCGAAAAGTCTTCCATGTAGAACATGAGAGACAAGAACAGAGGGAAGGCTGTGGCCAGACCGATGATCATTGTCAGCATCATGACCTGTGGGACTCGGCGACCGGGATGCGGCATTTCCTCGCTAATGTGAATAACTACCAAGTATTAGAAAGATTCCCTTTCCGAGATATCATCATGTGGGTGACTTACCACCATCCGTCCCCCCAAAGGCGTACATTGCATTCGCGATACCCAAGGTCCACGCTATCCCTGCAGACCATCCACTTGATCCTAGACCCGATTGAGTCAGGAAAGATGCAGGTTGGCTGTGTTTATGCAAAGCGATGGCTACGAATAAGAGCACCAGAAAGCCCAAAACTGAACTGTACAACGAAAGCTGAACTGTGAAGGTGATCTTTTGAGAGGCAGAAATCACAGGAAGTACTAATAATTGTTAGAAATGTAGTTTCAAAGGATTAGATATGAAATTCGGGAGGTGAAAGCACCTGTGACGGTGGCAGTCCCCACATAGATTAAATAGATCTGCCATTGTGTTCCTTCGAAACCGGGATGCCAAAATTGGATCATACCAGCTAAGGTCATGGAGAACAAGGATATTTCTGAACATCTCAAGACACTTTACGTTAGCTTTCGAAATATCACGACTGACCTCCAAAGAGAAAATTACTTACGTAACGATCCACCAAGCCAGCATTGACATCCAACCTATCAGGTATGCAGCGAATCGTCTTGTATTTGGAGATGATAAGATGTAGCAGAAGTGATACTGGCCACCGGTTGACTACACTTTCATTAACAGTGAAGACGGTTTGGTATGTGACAGATACGACGGACCGGGAAAGCAGACGCTATCTCACCCAGACCAAGAGTCATGACAAGCTGAGCGGCAAAGGCGACGAGGAGCCCGAATATACACGATTGCGGCCCACCATAGACGAGATTCTGACCGAAATTGCTCTTCAATGGAAACTGTTAGCGCAAAATAAGAAGCTTCACATTTTTGCGATGATCAAAGAGAACATGGGCGTACAAGATAACCGATCCAAGAGTTGGGTATAGAAAAAGAGAGGCCTAAAGCTGAAACCCAGCTAAATTGGCGCTTCAAGACTTGATCATGGCCATTGGCTCTCAGGATTGCGTCGTCAATGTTCGCGTAGGGCTCTAGTGTACCATGGGATATGCTCAATCGGTGGATAAACTCGTTCGAGGCTGCATCCTTCGCGAAGCCCTTGGCCGCCATAGCTGCCGGGTCGGCATGTGGAACGGTATCGGCATGTATGGCATGGTTCATCGTTCTCAAGTCAATGGAAGCGAAGAGAAGTCGTATTAGACGTTTCGAAAGTCTATAAAAATGTAAGACGTAGGTCCGCGGCTCTCTTTACACGACCGCAGAAAACAGGCTATGACAAGGTCTTTATAGCCTTTCACTCTCCAATGAGAATAATGTAGTTGATGTCCTCTCTACAACTTCATAAGTGGTGCTTTGGACAGCCCAGCTGATTTTCTTATCACACTTCTTCTATATCAACCTCATGTTCGTCGATGCATTGTAACCACAGACCAAGCAGAGATAGCGAATTGCTGCTGTAGATATCTTCGGCATCCATTCGCCATGCCCTAGACGTGTTAGTGGCTCCACCCGCAGACTGTGCGATTCGCAATTCGGGCGACGCACCTTTCACTGACAAGTGACGATAAGATATATCGGTCGTGCAACTCCTTGCCAATCATGGCCCCAAACCTGAAGCCTGCACGGAGGTCATAGGATCTTACCCCAGTTGAGATGCTTTGCCATTCGGACCCCTTCGTGTGATATTTGGCGGCTGCTGACTCTGAACGCAGTGCCAACTGTATTGATTTCCATCCTGCATGCTGTTATGCATGAAAGCCGCGCTAATTAGATTGTTCACGGACCCCCACCATCACATGGGGCTTGCGCTCTCTTTTTCCACTTTAGGAAATAGTCTCAACCATAGCAGTGGGCTGGAGGCCTGCCCTGCTGCAGTGTCTGTCACACTGTAATAAACGGACGCCATCCCAATGCTAGGTAGGTAGCTCACGACGCTGCGTCGCCTTGGCGGAACGAGCGGGCCCAAGTTCTTTGAGCCTGCAGTGAGCCATCATTCCCCGGAAGCGAAGCGTCAGAAGGTCTTTAAAAACAACCTTTGTTTTTTTCAATTCGAGTAGCCATCCAAGTCAGTTTCACACGTGTCATCACGCCAAAGCCTTTTCCCACACCAAGCCCCTGGCTCTAACGTATCTCATCTCAACCGCTATCCCTAACTTCTGTTGTCGAACACTACCAAAGCCTGTGAACATGTCGAGAATTTCCGATAGATACGGCTCCGAAGTCCAGAAGCTCTCAGCTGAGACCCCTATTGAGGATATCATTTACCTTTTGAAGCGCGATGGCGGTGTATTTGTTAAGGGGCTTGTGGCCGTTGAGGACGTCGACCAATCTTACGAAGAGTGTCGTGAGCGCCTCGAAAGCGACGTTGAGTGGAATGGGTCATTCTTTCCAAGTAAGCCTCATCGGCCTATCAACAGCCGTCAGTTATGTTGCTGGGAGGCTACTAGACTATTAACGCAGCTCTTGCTGATGAATGGCAGAGGAAACCCAACGAGCACCAGCCCTCCTTGCTCTCAGCCCCACATACGCCAGAACCCAGATGATGAATCCCATATATCAGAAGGTGTGCGAACACTTTCTGACCACTCGAAACTGGTTCTGGTGGGGCAACGAGAAAAAGGAGTCGGTTTCGAAGCCGTATGTCCACTCTTGCACTGCCATGAGGATTGGACCAGGCGGAAAAGCCCAACCCCTCCATAGGGATGACTACATCAGCCACAACCACCACCAGGAGATAGAGGCATGGGATGATGAACGAGACAAGAACCGAGAGACTGCAGTAGGCCTTTTCGTGGCTGGAAGCAAAGTCACAAAAGAGAATGGAGGCACCCAGTTCATACCTCGCAGCCACCTCTGGTATGAAGATTTTTCCCGCGGAGTCTCGGCGTCGACCGCAGTGGATGCATGTTGTACTGTGCTGATAGTGTTTGATTGCTAGGGGCACCGACAGACACTTGCCACCACGAGTTGACGAGTGCATTTATGCTGAGATGGACAAAGGCGACGCTTTCATCATGCTGGCCTCAGCATATCATGCCGGCGGACATAACACCACACAAAACGAAAAACGACTGGTTTTCGCGACGTTTTCCATTCGAGGATATCTACGACAAGAGGAGAATCAGTATCTCTCCGTGCCTCAAGATATTGCGAAGAATTATGACCGGCCCATTCAGGAATACATGGGTTACGCCATGAGTGACCCTGCCTGCGGATATGTTGACCAAATGGATCCGATCTTTGTCCTGCATCCAGAGTTGAAAGGGGACGGAAGGCCAAGCGATTTCTAGGCATCGGGGGTAAATTATTCGTTCTTTTGTAGTGATTAAACCAGGTCTTGTAAGGCGATTCATTTCAAATGACACTTACAGTGTAACAATGTCTTCTTTCGATTTGCACGTTCAAAATTCGATAAATCTAGAGGACCACCTCAGCCCCTTTCGTGTGTCCGAGCCTCTGAACTTTACCTTGAACTTGATGAGAATTCTCCGAACGCCTCTTGATTCCTACTGCCGTAAACAAAACCAGGGCTGGTAATGGTAGAGAGCCACGCAAGACGGAGAAATTCGACTGTGCAGCGATGAGACACGGCAATAGGGTACACAGGGATGTGAATTACAAGGGCTCGGCCCGGCAGAGGTGTAAGAAAATAGCGGCAGACTGGAGGTGACGGTGCCGCATAAGGACATTGTGCTGATTCAATTGCCCTTAGTCAGAACTCCGTCAACTCCACTAGCGCAGGCGCTCTTGACGCCAGACAGGACGTCCATTAATTAGGTTTCCTTCATCTACATTCTCTACTCTCGCCGAAGAGCCACAGCAAGAGTAAGGCTTTACACAGCGACAAAACCAATCATGCATGGAAAACTTGCCATGGCCAGAGGCTCAAAAGCCGTTCGAAAGGGTAAGTCAGACAAATCATTTATTGGGATTGCTGCGCTTTGCTGCTGTAGGAAGCGCAACCTGCCCCGTCAATTAGCCCCCGTCTTCCCCTGCCTCGCAAAGTGGAAGCTATGTCCCGTTTCTACCCATGTCCCAGCTCTGATTTTTGGACACATGAATTCTAGACCCGGCATGCGGAACTTGTCGAAAGAAGTGTCGCAAATGCGACAGAACACGGCCGACATGCAATCGATGCAAGTCGAAAGGTCTCCAATGCGAAGGATACCCCCCCAGGTTTCAATTTTGCGAATCGCCGTCCACTGCTGTCGCGTCCAACGGTAGCAAAGTTCAGCAACAAGACGAAAATATCTCACATCCCTCAAGGAAGCCCGGTCGGAGCCAAGACCGAAGTTCCCCGTCGGCCCAGAGCCCCCGGACATCCATATCGACTGACAGTCGCAGTGCGCAAGTTTTGCACCATCTTTTGCATCAGGGCACATCACCGGACGCGTCGACGTCTCCCCATCAAATCTCGGTTGGCCAACCATCGCCTGTTTCTTTTACTGAGCGCCACTTCGAAAAAGAGCCTCTGACCGCTCTGAACCGAAACTTGTTGATTTATTGTGAGTCCCATCAAACTAAAAAGCTAGTATTGGGCCTCACAAGGAGTAGTTGACGAAAAGTTAAGCGAACACTTGACAATCGTAGTCAATGAGACCCAAAATCCGTTCCGACTTCACGTGTTACCTCTTGCGCATCAGCATGTCGGAGTTCTTCACGCCGTCCTGGGCTTGGCCGCATGCCATATGACTCTGTTACCCTATGGAGTTGAACAGGTTGATATGGCTACGGCTCTACAACATCGAGTGGCAGCCCTCAACGATCTGAGTTCGCTTCTCATAAAGGAAGAGATCTACGGACTGGCGGCTGCTGAAGAAGACGCCGTACTGGCGATTATACTGCTCTTGGTCTTGCATGACGTGAGTGTCTTGGCAAATCTAGAATTCGTCATTAACTCCCCCACGTCCCGGATCCGAGCCCATCAGTCATACTAACGTGAGCTAAGATCTGCGAAATGGGCATATCCGCCCATGCCGTGCATCTGACAGGGGTGTCTTTTCTATGCGATAGAGTTGCAGTGGCCTCAAGCCTCGGACAGACGTCAAGCGCTAGCATGTTCTTCCTGTCAGCACTAGCATGGTGGGTTCATCATTTCAGGCTTTCTGAAGACACGCAACATTTCAACTGACATAAGTCGCTAGGTTGGATGTACTGAGGGGTTTCAGTGGCGCAGAGAAACTTACTTACTCAGAAGCCGTTCGCCTATGTGTCGTGGCTGACCCGAAAGCACGATCAAGCTTCCACACCTTGGTTGGTTGCCCTCCCGCCGTTTTCCATCGCATAGGCGAGGTCATCGCAGCGGCCAAACGCCACCAAGCCAAATCGATCAGTTTAAACGATTTCGAGCAAGTCTTGCAAGATGCAGAAGTGTTCTTTCGAAATATCAGGCTGGAGGAACTAGATTATCCCAGCCCTGATACCGAATGGAGAGATCTTGCCGACGCCTATCGCCATGCCTGTCTTTTGCGAGTGATCCGTTGGCCAGACACCTTTTCAATTCCCTGTGAATCTGACAAGGTGAAAGTCTCGGTCAGCGCTATACTAGACGCCAGTTCACGAATCCCAATGAGCTCCCCTTTTCACAAACGGTTGCTATTTCCCCTTTTCCTCGCCGCTGTCGACACCTCTACAGGACACCAAATGCATTATGCCACACTATGCATCCAGCAAATCAAGCGCTCAACCGGATTTGAACATGCTGCAATGACAGAAGTGCTTGAAAAGGTTTGGGAAGCTAGGGCGAATCACACTCGTGCCTGGCCTAACATCCCTTGGATGGAGTTTGTAAGTACATTTGTAGACATCAAAAACGACCGAAGAAATACTGATTGCGCAATAAAAGACCTGCTCCGAGGCCCTCAGACAGCAACATGCATATCTGTTCTTTTAAATCATGGAGTCAAAAGGTATGCGGCCATGAGATACGTGTAGGCTGTACGTCGTAATCGGATTTGTGACGAAGAGAGCCGATGTGCGGATGCGGACTGTTGCCATTTTAGGAAATAAAGCACATACAGGACTTTGATGTCAACTTTGTTTCATGTTCAAGGCCTGAACGGAGTCTCCCTTCCCATATCTTTGGCAATCTACATGTAGACTAGACTCAGACACCTTACTGACGCCTCGAATTATCACGTCCCAGGAACGACACCAGTTATCTCAGTGCTTCAATCTTGAATCAGACGCCCAGGCTGGTTCAGACAGATTACACAGAAGGATAGTCGAAGCCTATGGCAGAGAATTTGTTTTTAAGAAGCCGAATGCTTTTGTATCCCATTCTTGGAGTCCTTGAGATAAGACAGTCACCAAAAGGGAGCGCTCGTGTCAATGCCGACATCGAAGTACGATTCATCGACTCGCTCATTTGAAAGCTAAGACTTGATTGTCCTCAGGGATTACGCCACCTGATTCGTAAGGGCAAGTAATACAAATCACCTTCGTATCTATGGGGGTTGATTAAACCCCGCATCTTGTAAGAATGAGGGTTGCTAAATTCGCACGATGGTCTTGTATCTTCCCGAGATAGATGCGAGATAAGAGAATAGTAAACATGCAAGGAGCCGGAAAAAGTGTTGGCAAGCCGGCTCGCTCAAAGACGATACTATAGATGGAGTCACAGGGAGAAACAGCCACGCGCGAACAACAGTCCGCACCGTCATAGTTGCTGAGAGTTTTTCCTTTTCGGGAAGAACAATGCATCTGACCCACCGACGCCCCAAGGTTGCGTGCCAAGCTGGCGCGTCGCACCAACTGGCGTATACAGGTCTACTTACATCTTGACTTTTATTCCTAATGACTTGGGCATCCCCTTTTGCAAGTACTCCAAGATACCAAGAACTTATGCGATGCATACTTTGATTCTTTTGTCACATGCAAAGGCGAGGTGGTCGAAAGGAGTTAAGTTTTGGGTGAGTACAAATAGTGGATGATTCGGGATGTCGCAAGATCCCACACACTCTCTCAACCCATCGCTGGAGCTATTTCCGTTTTCGGGATCACATCATCCTTCAATACTGGGACGTAATAGGTGATCGCAGTGTCCGAGTGTGGTTATTTGGATTGACTCAACAATACTTAAATGACTGGCTTGCGATATTGTTATTACCAGATGACATAGGTTGCACCTCGTCCCAAACAGTCTTTATTCCTCATTCTGCCACCATGCCCAAACACCCCCTAGACCCTCTATCAGTCGATGAAGTCCGCAAGGCATCACAGCTCCTTTTACAGGAGTTGAGCTTGCCACCAATGTGCATCCGCTTTAAGGTGGTTGACCTGGCAGAGCCGTCCAAAGACGAGGTTCTCGCCCACCTGCAAAGGGGTAACCGGGTACCAGATCGCAAAGCTCGAATTTATTACCACCAAAAGAACTCGAAAGTTCTCACGAAATCGATTTTGAATGTCTCTAGCGGCATTCTAGAGACCACCGAAGAACTTCCAGACGTCCAAGGCCCAGTGGACTGGGTAGAATACGACCTCGTCACTAAGGCCTGCAATAAGCACCCGGCAGTTCTTGCGGAGATTGCAAAGTTGAAAGTTCCACCAAGGTATGCCTAATGAAATGTCCTAGATCAATGTAGACTGAAGTGTCTGGATAGCGCCCGAATTTTGAACGATCCTTGGGCATACGGCACGGATGACCCTTTCGAAAGAAGACGACTTTTTCAATGCTACATGTACTTGGCTCTGAACGACGACGAGGAGGCAAATCACTATTCAACCCCGTTACCACTTGCACCTATCTTCGATGCACATACAATGGAGCTTGTGGATCTTCAAAGACTTCCGCTCGGCGTTGGCGATGAACTTGATACCGAAACTCAGCCATGGACACCAGTCGAGCCTGTCGAATATAGTGCCAACATACTCGGCACGGAGGCACTACGCAAAGATCTGAAGCCTTTGCATATTATTCAGCCTGAAGGCCCATCTTTCCAAATCGACGATCGAACTGTACTCTGGCAAAAGTGGCAATTCCAACTGGGATGGTCACTACGAGAGGGTCCCATTTTGCACGATGTGCGGTACGGCGAAAGATCTCTTTTCTACCGAGTGTCCATGAGCGAAATGACGGTTCCTTATGGCGATCCTCGAACCCCTTACCACCGAAAGCAGGCCTTTGATCTTGGTGACTCTGGGTTTGGGCTGACATCCAATAGCTTAGCTCTTGGATGCGATTGCCTCGGCCACATCGCCTATTTCGACGGAGTGCGCGTCTCGGCTACCGGAGACCCTGTGCTGATGCCGAACGTGGTTTGTATGCATGAAGTTGATGACGGCATTGGCTGGAAGCACACCAATTTCCGCAACGGCAAGTCTTCAGTGGTACGGGACCGCAAACTTGTCATTCAATGCACGTCGACTGTTGCCAACTACGAGTACATTTTAGCCTTTGTGCTTGACCAAGCCGCTAATCTTCACATTGAAGTGCGGGCAACAGGTATCCTGTCTACCATGCCAATCCGTCCAGACCTCAGCGTATCCCCGTGGGGCACGGTGGTAGCTCCTGGGGTTCTTGCCGTAAATCACCAACATCTTTTCTGTGTGCGCATCGACCCGATACTTGATGGCGAAAGGAACAATACAGTCGTGCGGGACGATTGTTTGCCCGTTCGGGGTAACCCTAATCTTGACCCCTTTGGATGTGCGTTTCGCGTCAAAACCACTCCAATTACGAAGCCTGGCGGCTATGACCTAGACCTCTCGTCCGGTCGTACGTATCGAATCACGAACCCATCCCGCGTGAATGAGATATCGGGCAAGCCGGCTGGATACAAGCTTCATGCAGCACCTAGCCAAATGTTGATGATGGGACCTGAGACATTCAATCATCGGCGGGGAACTTTTGCATCCAAACCCATTTGGGTAACACGATACCGAGATGATGAGTTATGGGCCGCAGGGGAGTTCACCAATCAAAGTCGGGAGGACACTGGACTTGCAACGTATGCAACGCGAGACGAAAATGTCGAGAATGAGGATGTCGTACTTTGGCATTGCTTTGGACTGACCCATGTCACTCGGCCTGAAGGTTAGTTGCCCCTCCTTGATGCCGTTACTGACCACATAAGAGTTTGCTTAAGAATGATGGACTCTGATACGACATAGACTTCCCTGTCATGCCCGCTGAGAAGCTATCTTGCACATTGAAGCCGACAAGCTTTTTCCGCAAGAATCCCTCAAACGATGTTCCGCGGTCCGAGCAGCGCCATAACAAATCAACTCTTCATACGGCAGCGGATGGATCCTTTCCATATTGCCAAGCAGCAGGCAGGTAATGAGGAGAAAGATCGCCGAGCCAAATCGAAAGAAGTGAAGCAGGCAAATGTTTTGGAACTGCTGGTTTCTGTTTTGAACTTGTAATTTATGATATCTACGTTGAGATTGAGAACGTTTTCGACACGACTATGATGTGAAAATTGTGTCATGTCTTGCAGCTCAGTGGCGACAGATTTATTTTCGTTCTTCCTTGCTAATCTGCAACAAGTAACTATTGATATCAAGCATGCGGTACCCTCAGCGTTATGAACTCGATCTTCCACTAACCATGAGTTTCCTGGATCGAGAGGACTAAAGCCTAGGCTTGAGACACGCGCTTCAAATGTCGGAGTTTCGGCAGCGCGCTGAAAATAGCGTCTCCGGTCTAAAGAGTAGTTTGAACCAAGTGCAGGTGAATCTGTCAAAGTGAGTCGTATCCATAAAACGCAAAATCTTGATTCGAGATAACACAAGTTCATGGTTCTTAGGCGCTGGGAAGAACTTTTCAGTCTTATACGATGTAATACCAGGCAACACATTCGATATGACATTAGACTTTCGCCTCTGGAACTGTTCTGAAAGCATCGGCTGCTTCTTTGAGAGGCGCGGTGGAAGGCGGGGGTCCCTGCCCTATCGCTGCTGAAAAAAATGATACCAACCACGTCGCAGACTTGTGCATCGATCTGCTGCAGCAGCCCTGAACTGAGAGACCCGCCTCCAATGTTTTCGTCCACAGCATCACGCACAGTCTTTAGAAGCTCGCGACAGGTGAGCTCCAAGCTGAAATAATTGAACATGATGCCAGGAACTTCTTCGTCGACATCCATGCAAACTTGATGGGTGAGCTGGACTGGACTAAGAGATCTTATAGCCGCCTGAAACACCCAGTGTCAGCCAACAGCTCGTGCAAGATCATACTAAATTGAATTATCCAGCACCTTTCTCTTGTTCTTGATCGAGTCTTTTTCATCATTCGTGCTTGCGGACTCAAGTTCTCGAATTCCGTCGGAATCATGTTTCTTGTACCATCCACTGCTGTCGAGAATGAGATCAACCACTTCGACATTGAGCCCTCTTGAATCCGAGTCAACTATGAACGTTTGAGCAAAGGCCATAGATGCCCTAGCCTGGTAGTTGATGGTTCTGATACCAGCCCGAGACATCGGAATCTTTTTGTTCTTAGTGCTGTGATTTGGTAACCAATGCGTCGCTGAGATTCCCTTGGTGAGTGCAAAGTTTTTGGAATAGGCCTCCAGAGATGTTGGAGGATTTCCCACAAAGAATGCCGAGTTCCCTTGGATCTTCATAATGAATCCAAGGTCCGCTCTCTTCTCCTGTTCCTCAAGGATTCCTTCTTGCCGCAGCGCTTGATACAGCTGGACAGCATGCATCAAATTTCCCTTAGATGCGAACTCGATACCAAGCCGGTGAAATGCTGTTCTTATGTCGTGAACGTGTAGACCGCAGAACATCGGATTGTGACTCAAGAAGTTGGATGGCCTGGTTGGTGCTTGCCGTATGATGTTGAAGATATCTTTATCTGAGCCCCACTGGTCCACCGACATCAGGAGATCATCAATTGCCTCCTTGAAGTGGCGACTCCTCTTAAGCTCTGGTGCCTCTCTGACGACATCTCCAATCGAATTCGTGATCCTCTTCAAATCTTCCTCGCCCCTACGGACTTCAGAACCAAGGGATTTGAGGATGTCTAGGTAGATCTGTGCGCCAAATGCAAGCCAGACATCGGGGATTTTCTTCGTCTGCATCATTTGCTTGAAACCTTTGACGAACTCGTCTTGAACTTGAATGCCCTTGAGCGTCGTGACGATGACATGCATGTCCGCAAAGAGCTCCAACAGAGCCGCTTTATCCTCTTGCCAGCGCTCCCGGTCGTCTTCAGCCTTGCGATCGTCTCTGTACCAGCCAAACTTTCCATTGTAGGAAGGACACGTGTCAGAGAGACCCTGTCCCTTGTAGGCGTTCAGGAGGCATAAAGTGTTATAGAAGAACATATTAGCCTCAGCGTAGCACCTGTAGTTGTAGTCATCGGTAGCTTGACGTTTATCCTCAGGATGCAGCCCCCGAGCTGCACATGCGCCCCCAAATACCATCGGGATAAGCTCTTCCACCCCACCAAGCCTCTTCAGCTGCGTGGAAACCTCATCTTCCATGCTATGAGCAAGCTTGATGGCAGTGTTTGTAGCTACCGCAACGGCAGCAAGATCTCTAGATCCAGCCTGATATTGTTGCCAAAGGCCGAATACTTCCTCACGAAGTTTGAAGAAATCCGCCAGAAGCGTCGACAAAATGAAAAGAGATTCCGTCTGTATGTCTTCTTCCTCAGCCGCGTACTGAACATCGTCGAGACTGGGTAACACTGCGTCTGGAGCAGATAAGAACTCATCAGAGGGTTCGTAAACACTCAGAGATTCAAACATGTTGCCTGTCCGAAGCCTAGCGTTGTGCTTGTCATCGTTTTTGACATCATCCGTAGGTAGAGCGCTCCTCAAGCCCGACGTGTCGAACGAACCAATGTGGGACTTGAAAGTCTCTCGTACTTTCTCGAGGACCGAAATAAAATAAGCGTGCTGGGAATCCCCGGCAACGTCTTGGAACGATCGAAATCTTTGCAGAATAGCAGAAAACCGTCGACGGGATTCGATAACACGGTTTAGTGCCGCTGAGAAGAATTCCGGGACTGCGAGAGCCGCAGAAGCGACCTTGTCGGCCACATGCTCGGCTAGCGGAACGAAGTCTTTGATGGCAATGACGTGTTTTCGCTTTGAGCTAGCCGAGGCAGCAGCGGCCTTTGCCAACTTCTTTTTAGCCTCCATTCGAGCCCTGCCTTTCAGTTTCTTGGTGGCAGGGCTGTTTGCCGAACCATTGAGAGGACCAGATTAGCCGGACTGAATTGCTGAGGATGCCAACCATGATGCCACCACATCTGTGTCTTGCTTGTACTGATGATAGGTTGATCGAAGACCAGCAGCGACTATCTTCGGCGTTCGTTGTCAATGCTGCTGGATGGCGATGATGCGGTGAATTTCGACAGTGGTTGACGTAGGAAGATGAGAAGCTATCAATTGGCCTTGCGGCTTTAAGCAGGGCTGGTAGAAGTGTTGCGGGGTGAACTAAACACGGATGGGCGAGATTGCGAGATTCTCTTGACGTCGCGCGTGTGGGGGTTGGAACGGATCATGTGATCAAAGAAAAAGCAACAATGAAGTGTGGATAATAAGGCGGTCTGGCGAAATATACGTGTTTGGAGGTCACGTGGACCTACTCGCTCTTCGAAAGCTTGTATCAAATATGCCACTATTAACACCCCAAAATCGTGGTTTAACTTTAAGATAGTATTGAAGTTATGCTATAGCAATTCCAGTGGTATCGCCCAATTCTGAAAATAAAACCGCCTTTTCCTTTTTGTTGATATCGATGGCATATATACCACCAGACAGGTCGGTCACATACACCACGCTCGCGTTCTTATCCAAAGCCAAACCGATCGTCTCATGCAAGCGAATCGCTAAAATCTCAATCTTTCCTCCCAGTTCCACATTTGCTCGGTTGAGAGAATTGCCAGTGGGGGGATCTCCGCGATCTGTCCAGTACAGCATACTGATCTCTTCGTCGAGTTCAAGATCAATCGGCTCCGGCAGCTTCTCAAAGACCATTTCAATGTCTCGGACCAAATCGCTGGCGCCCGAAGCTGGCTCGATCGGCGCTCGAAGAATACGACCCTGGTTGCCCTTTGATGGACCTTTTTGAGTCCAGTAGAAGAGGCCTCGCTGCTCATCCACGGCAATGCCGACGCACCACCTTGATTGATCTAGCATATCTGCCTCGGTATTCCCTGTCGAAATAAGAATCTCAACCTCAGAACCATCGAGATTTGCTCGCATGACTTTCATGCCTTCTCTGTCGCACCAGTACAGCTTCTGGCTTCTCTTCGCGATGGTGATTTGTTTCGGTGTGAAGACACCTGAAGTTCCCACAGGAACAACAACTCTCCTGTCAGATCCATCCAAGTTGGCCCTTTCGATAGAACCACTGTTGGATTTGAAGCTTGATCCCATGTTTGTCCAGTACATGTGGCCGTTTGCATGGTCTATGGCAATGCCATCCGGTAGAGTATCAATATTATCAATGATCGTTCGAAGGTCACTCCCATCTGGAAGACAAGATAATATGCGTCCGGCCCGCGTGTTTTGATGAGGATGCGACAAATCCGTGTCAAGGATGTAAAGACGTTGTTGCGGTTGTGAGCCCATTGTTACAAAATGTTTGAAATAGGCAGTGTTAAACGAATCGAGTTGACAGCCGTAATGAAACAGCCGTAATGATAGTCGTAATGATAGTCGTAATGAGTGAAACCTCCAGGCAAAGATAAGAACCAAAACAAGAAGCCGTTCCCCGCGAAATGTTCCTTTATAAAGACCACTTTTAAGTTGCGCGGCCGGTGTCTTTCAAGACGGATGATTCATTCGAGAGCAGTTCTACGGTTCGGGTTCCGTCTTGTAGAAAAAAGTTTTCAATTTGCCAGTTGCGAATGATTCACCAGGTAGCCCGCTAACGGCGACTTATGGTTCCGTCCGTTACTCGGATTTCGCACCTCGGTCTTCACGACATACCCACTGTCACAGAATGCGGCGGATGTCTTCCTGATTGCGCGGCCAAATTCCGCGTGGTCCCGCTTATATACATGGATGTCCCTGGTCAAGGCCTTCATGTGGGACGTCATTGCCCAGTTGTGCCATGCCCATGAACCCCTCGCGTTTCGGTGCGGTTTGGTTTTCCAAATCCTTCAGTGCCATTCAACCACTAGTGTCTAGTTGTGAAGAGAGGTGAGTGAAAAGAGAAAGGTGAAGACGAGAATACTGAGGAGATCGTGAAAAAGTCTCTTAATAAAGATGATATATCAATTATAGTCTAACACTAATACACATTCTCACATGCCTATGACTGCTTGTCGGTTGACGCATAATCATCCCACTCTTTCCGAATGTTTAGCAATCTGACGAGTTCCTCGTCACGCTGCTTAGCCAACTGCCGATACTCCCTCCCAGCAACTTCGTTCATTGTTCCTTCCACCCACTTTTGCTTCAACTCATCTGTCACTTCAGGGTCTTTGGGCGCATACCAAGTCATAAGGGGACCTAAGAGATGGTCCGCCATATGCTTGATCCCGCCTTCGCCGCCCCCCAAGTGAAGCAACATGCTGGGACCCATGACACCCCACCGAAGGCCTGGCCCAAAGCTCATAGCTTTGTCGATGTCTTCTACATTGACAATGTCCTCCTGGAGAAGATACATGACCTCTCTTACTAACGCGGCTTGTAGTCGGTTGGCAACGTGGCCCACAACCTCTTTCTTGACATGCACCGGCTTCTTCCCCATGCGCTCGTAGAAATCCATCGTCTTTTGCACAGTCGATGCGGAAGTTTTGTCCCCACCCACAACTTCGACAAGGGGAATGAGATGCGGGGGGTTGAAAGGGTGGCCCACCACGCAGCGCTCCGGCCTCCCGGAGGGACCCATGCCCTCTTGAATACTCGAGCATGTCAGACCGCTACTACTCGTTGCGATGATAGTATCGGGTCGGATGATTTCGGCCATTTCCATGAATAGCTTTCGCTTGAAATCAAGCTTTTCTGGCCCATTTTCTTGTACGAAGTCGGCATCCTTGAGGGCTTCGCGCATGTCGGTTGTAAATGTGATATCAGTCGCTTTGACATCCGATTCCTTCGTCAACCCCAATGACGAGAGAACTGGCAGTGCGTCGGTAACCAGATTGCGGAGGAAAGTCTCGGCGGCTGGATTGATGTCGAAGGCGACAACGGAGAGTCCTTGGGCCAGGAACAGTGCCGCCCAAGACGCACCAATCGACCCACAGCCGATGATGGCAACGTTGTGAATGTCAGGCATGATGAAGAAAATGCTGGCGTGGTAGCAAAGGATGTAATTGGGTGATTGAGGACTTTGCAACTGGGCAGTAATACGGGAGGTGTGCTGGTGATTCGAGTACCGTGGTGGTAGTGCTAATGGCACGACCGGGACGCAGGCAGCAGGGCACAGAAAGGAGGTATTTATGAATTGGGAAAAAGTGGCAGAAATCGGATGAAACTTTGAGAACAAGATGGGATAGTCAGTGAATTTAACGAGGGAGTGAAGGTTACTTGGATATTTCAGATAGCTACACGGACGGAAGCCCCGAAAGTAACGACGTAGTCCGGGCCGATCCCGGTCGCGAGAGCGTGGAAGCTCGGCATGCCTTCGCGACCCACAACGCCGATGTCCCCGCGCTAAAGGTAGGCAACGGGCCTGCAGTTTGGTGGGGAGCGTGGCAGAATTCCGCCCGCGGAATTAGGGCGGCGGGCCTGCGACTCGTGCGCCATCTCCGGATCACCAATCTTGGCGATTCCAGCTCCCTGTCCGTGGAGTTTCTAGAAAACTTCTCTTGGCCCGTGACAGTCTCGTTGCTTTGCGGCAACGTCATTCCTGTTCTTCTCATGCCTTAGTCTGGTGTCTCGACCGCCGGCACTCGCGTCGACCAGAAACCTCCGACTTGCGTACGCCTTGCCTTGCACGAGACTCAGACCTGGTTAACTTCATGCTCCGGGATGCACTGCCCCACATCATCGGTCCTCACGGCGTTCGCAGCCCTGATGGACGCAAGGGTCTTCCGACAGCGGCTGTTCCAATCAATCCGCACCGGTCACCGAGATATCTTCGTCTTTACTCCGTTTCCGCCATTGTCAACCATATTCCCACGGATGACCCGCCCTCACACGTCTTTGAGTATAAATCGAATAACTCCCTCTGGTCTTTAGCTTCCTAATATCCCAGGACTCTTAGCCATTGCAACTTGCAAGCCCTACTCTGCTCTATCGCATCCTTTTCTTTCCTTCTCGAAACCATTCCGAATACACATCATAAATCATGACTGTCGAAAAGATCCCCGACATCTACGGCCCGGGTACCTTCACAGATAAAACATTCACCTCTGTGCCAGAAGACACCGAACGCATCTTTCGTCTTATCGCCAGCCAGACTCCCGGCTTCACACAAGATGAAAGGATTCTCTCCAAAGTTCAATTTACTGGGGAGTCGTACCCTGTCATCCCCGGACCTATCAAGGCGACTTCGGTAGCTGCAGCATTGCATGCTATGACTGGCGTCTTGGCCGACGAAATTCTTACTCTCCGCGGCGCTAAGAATGACGAGCGTCAGATTACAGTCAACACCACGCACGCTGCCATTTGGTTTGGTTGCATTGCGACTGCTTTCTTGGATGGCGTTGATGTTGTGAGCCTGGTTAAACAGGGCAAGTTGAAGGAGTTGCTTCCTGACTGGGAGCGAGGATGGACCGACACTCCTCTCAAATACCGCGCCACCGGTCTGTACCCTACAAGCGACCCCGAGGTTTGGTATTCGCTTCATGGGAGCATGAATGCTGAGCCGGTCCTACGATCTATTGGTGTAGACCCCTCCACACCCGCCAAGACGCCGGAGGAGGCCGCCCGGCTCATTGCCCAACACACATCGAAGCTCAGCCCAGAGAAGATGGAGATGACAAATCTTTTGAACGGATTCTGTGGCAGCATTTGCTTCACGCCCAAGCAATGGCGTGAATCGGAGATGGGACGTTCGCTGTCGATACATCCCTTGGTAAACGTTCAGAAGCAAGAGCAGGCAATCCCAACACCTCCGGTAGCCTTCCCGCCTCTGGACCCCAACGACAAGCGTCCTCTAGCTGGTGTCAAAGTTGTAGAGATGACTCGTGTCATTGCCGGCCCGCAGATCGGAACAATTTTGGCTGCGTACGGAGCCGACGTGATTCGTGTGAATCCTCCACACTTACCAGACATCAACATCATGCAGTTGACCTTGAACGCTGGAAAACGAACAATCGCCATCGACCTACGCAAGGATGAAGACGCCGCCATTCTCAAGTCTCTTGTCTCGGACTGCGATGTTTTCATTCAGGGTTTCCGCATCAACAAGATGCCGAAGTTTGGTCTTGGCCTCAACGATCTGCTCAAGATGGCTGGTGAGCGCGGCCGTGGCATCGTATACGTCAGCGAGAACTGTTTCGGCCCTGACGGCTACTATGCTGAAAGGCCCGGTTGGCAGCAGATTGCTGATGCTGCCGCCGGTTCTGCTTACGTGACAGGAAAGTCACTAAATCTGTCCAACAACGAGGCAGTTCTTCCCAGCTTGCCCATTTCCGATATGTCAACCGGTGTCCTCGGAGCTGTTGGTGCCATGTTGGGCCTGAAGAGACGGGCAGTTGAGGGGGGAAGTTACTATTCGCATGCCAGTCTGACTGGTGTCAACGCTTACGCCCTGACCGAAGAGGTTGGGCTTTATCCCGAGGCCACCGTGGAAGAATGCAAGCAACGCTTCCAGTGGGGTGAAATGAGAGGATCACACCACGTGCTAGATCTCCTTGTCACCGTGTGGAATGGATGGCAAAGAGTTCTTGGGGATTACCTGCAGCCCGAGAGTGACTGGTTCCAAAGCTTTCATGACAGCGCTTTCGACAAGAAAAGGTTGAGCATTCTGAAGCCTGTGGTCAAGTTCAAGGGCGAGCAAGACACAACTCCCGAATGGAAGAAACCGAGCGTGCCCTATGCAAACGAGAGGGCAGAAACAGTCAAGTTTCTTTGATTGATGTAAATTAACCACATACTTGATTATATGTAATGGGAGCATGAAGTCTTCTTGTATCAGAACACCATTGATTTCTTTACTGGTGACTACAATGTCTCCGGCGTCACTGCAAAGCAGTTTGTTCTTTGAAGTAGGAATGCTATCCCTGAGTCCGGATCATTACATGTTGGCTCTACCTATCCCCGCCAAGTCGTCGTTGAGCAGAGTATCCTTTTCAAATCCATTGACAACTTGGTGAAGCATCGCAGCGGATATCTCTTGGACACAGATGCTTGGCAAGGATGCAACCCATTTTAATGCAAACCCCATAGCCATCTTCATATAATCATTCGGTGCAGTAATCCAACCAGGTTTTGCAATGCACACCTCGACTTTTGGTCTGTGTTCTTCCGCGAGTGCGAGAATAGCACTTTCAGCTTCACCCTGTCAATTCGAACCTGGTTAGCAAATGATCTTTCGACCCTCAACGGAAAAGCGGGAGAGAAGAGGAGGGCAAAACCAGATCAAGCTTACTCGTAACAAGGAATATTTAGGCTTGAAACTGGGAGTCTTGGTTTGGTCACGCTCCGAGGCTATGCCGCTCATGTACACAAATCGAATAGGCTTCGAATTGGGGCCGAATGCTGCCTCAGATCGCGCATCAATCATGGTCTTTAGAGCCACAAGAGGTGAGCGGAGACAAACGCGTTGAACCTCGTCCCACTCATAGGCATCGGACCTTGACGGCGTGATTGCTACTGTCCTATCCGATAGATGCAATACATCATCAGTGCTTTCTGTGCAATACCGTGACGTTGTATTCATTTTTACAAATGGGGACAGGGAAGATAGAGCCGGGCTAGAAGAATGATTCGCGACATGATAGAACTCACCAAATGCAAGCATCGGCATTCGCGAAGACTGCCTTCTCGTCGTCAGAGTAAGTGTCATAAGATCCAACCACAACAGTCGTCAGCTTTGATATCTCGGCAGCAGATGAAGCCCCGTTTCTAATATCCACGGGGCGTCTAGAAAGAGCTATTATAGATGTGATGCTAGGTAGCCGCAAGCTCTGGCGGACGAGCTCTGTTCCCACAAATCCGTTTGCTCCAGCGATAACAAGCTTCATGTTAGGCGATGCTGGCTCTAAGGGTTTTTGTCTTTGGGATGAGGTCAGAAGATAGAAACCAGGCTGGGTCAGGAATTCTGGTCTGAGAAGCGGGGTTAAGAAAGTCGATATGCTTATGGAAGCCATCTATGATCCGGTAAGCACTAGCGAATCCTGCGATGTTTTGTCATCAGAGATCTGTAAATTCCAGTGTTGAACCTAACGCTAGGACCACCTGCGGCCTCTTGGTGCGCAGTAAAGCCGCTTGGCGATAAGGATGTTCGGCCTGATGGTCTAGTGGTACGATTCTCGCTTTGGGTTATTGTCTAATAACAACTGCGAGAGGCCCCGGGTTCGAACCCCGGTCAGGCCCTTTTTTAAGGATTTTTGCTTGCTGAAGCCGATCCGCTAACGAATGGCAAACTCGAATTCTGTCAGATCATGGGTCATCGTCTTGACCTAACCGACTCACTAGGCTCGACTTCTTAGGGTGTTAGGACGCGGTAGAACCTGAGGCTGAGTGGAGATAGGCCCCGGAATATGTACTTCAGGATGACGCACCTATAGCCTGGGTCGTATACTGCGTTGCTCATGTGGATCGCGCGGAGGTACTGAGAGAGATGGCAGACTTTTGGCACATTCAAACCATCAAGAATTACTGGCTCGCTCGGCGCCACGGCAAGAAGACACGACACGTAACGATGACAGTTGACTGGGTTGGCAACCCCAGTTTCTCCGATGTCAAGGAGGACTGCGTCAAGCAAAATCATCCAGCGCTTCTCAACAAGTGTTGGCATCGCATGAACAGACACAGCGATATGCGCCTAGACACAAGCCTAACAAATAATATGAATGTGCTGCCGGCGAAGTTTTCGAAGCAGAATTCCTGGCAGGCGTCGAGCATGATGGTGGTAGAAATAAGAAGCAGGGACCTGGATTGATGATTGGGTAAACCAGGGCGACAAATGGTGAGGCAGAGGAATCGAACTTCACTTGCAAGCTAGTGCCCTTTTGTGTTTTGATTGAATCGAGACCAGAGATTGGCCGCAAGCGGCGGAATCAAAGCGAGCACTAAATTTCGAACCGACTTTCATTGCTGTAAAATGGTTTCTGGGTTGAGGCTGCGAGCTGACGAGTTGGCAATGCGGCAAGCCATCTTTCAGTTATCACCGCAGCGAAGAGCAGTGTTTCTTTTCCTCTTATCAACGGCCAAGTGCCTAGTTGAATAGCCAAGGCCGTAACCACCTACCGCAATTGTAAAGCCAAGCTACAAAAAACCTATGTGTGCGTGTTCAATGCGGGGATTCTGAGGCGGAGCTCGCAAGCCTCGCAGTAGTCCCAGCAGATAACTCGTCCAAACGACTATGCCAAGGCTGCCAAGGCCAGCGTGATAGTCGTCCAAGATCAACTTAGCTTCTTTTAGCAGCTATGTTCCATTAGCCAAGCCCCGAGGTGGCATCAAAATCTTGCGTGATTCTCTCCAGTCGGATTTTGGCTCATGTGAGAATGAAAATAAGGTCTTGTTCTGAGCTCTCCGCACACTGTCTTTGATTGGCAATAGTTAACTTACAGATCTTGTTGATGCTTGGTACCTAACCCGTAATGGCCGAAGCGTGAGATGTAGACTCCCAATACTTAAAGGCCGGCGGTGCCGCTTCATCGAAACGTGGTACCCAGGTGATTTGATCCTCATTGGCTCGTACAAGCAGCTCATCTCTCGGTGGCTCTCGCTATTGTCAGTTCTTCGGTTCGTTGAAATGGTGCACATTCATGCCGCAGCCGTCCTCGGCTGGTCTCTGTTGAGATTAACCAATGCGGCTGGGGCAGGTACGAAAGCAGAGTATGACTCTGGCGAAGTGCATCGCCGCATCATGGGAATCAAGATGGTGTGTGCGATCAATGCCCGATCAGAGTGCTTTAGCTGACAGACCCAAAGGCTCAATGGGAGGCTGAGATCGCCGCTGGCGATATGGATAGTTCTCAGTATCCTGAGCTCGGATATACCCCGTGTGTGAACGGGTTTGCTGAGGCGGTCCCTGGAGATTTTCACAATACCTTCAGGTGTAACAACGTAAGCCTATTGCACGCACGCATGTGGAAGACTTCTCATTGCTAATTAATGAAGATCGACCTTTATCATTTTCTCTCCCATGAAGCGCTTGGCAGCTGGGGTGGACGTGGCTCGTCTTCATGGGGCTGGACTTCAGCAGATGGTAGAGAATTCGTCGCCATTGGCCAATACGACGGCACCGCCTTTGCAGAGATCTCAGAGGAGGGAAAGCTGCTTTATCTCGGCCGTCTCCCACAATACGATCGAATCGGCTCGCAATGGCGCGAAATACGTATCGTTGGTGATATTGCCGTGATTGGGTCCGAGGCCATTCACCATGGAGTGCAGTTCTTCGACATGAAGAAGGTCCTTGATCTAGATCCCGCAAACCCGAAGAACTTCACTCAGGAAGAGCTTACTGGGCACTGGGACGAGCTCCCCATGGGGCGTACTCACAACATCGTCGTCAATCACGAACTCAACTATGCCATTGCTTGTGGCTCTGTGGGCGGAAACGAAACCATTCGGGTGCGAGGCGATCTGCCCTGTCGGGGCGGTCTGATTTTTCTCGACATCAGCGACCCAACCAACGTAACAAGCCCTGGCTGCGCTGCGGGGGATGGTTATGTGCATGATGCTGAGTGTCTAGTATATCGTGGCCCAGACCATCGGTACTATGGAAGAGACATCTGCTATGGCTACAACGAGGATACTCTTACCATCTACGACGTCACTGATAAGAACGGTAACACCACAAACATCATCTCAATTACGGACTACCCTGGTGCGCAATACGTACATCAAGGTGTCGTCAATAACGAAACTTGGCAAGAGTACTTGTTCATTGACGACGAATTCGACGAGAGGGATGCCAAGGTCGGCCCAATGACGCAAGGTCTTCCCACAACCCACATTATGGACATCCGCAACTTGGAAGCTCCAGTCTATGTAGGGCACTACGCTGGGAAGACTAGGTCTATTGACCACAACCAGTACATGGTGAATGGTTATTTGTATCAGTCAAACTACGGGAATGGGTTAAACGTGCTTGACGTCAGCAGTGTTACTAAGGACCCAACGGGTAGCAGCATCTGCGAGGCTGGCTTTTTCGACATTTATCCCGAAGATGATGAGAATGAAGGTGGTGGCACAGTTGCATTCCTCGGATCGTGGTCCTCGTTTGCCAACTTCAAGTCCGGCTTCATTTTCGTACACACAATCGAGCGCGGCAGCTTCGTGGTCAAGATGACATCCAAGGAATGCCCAAAAGCACCTGTCTGCAACGCCGATAATTGCCTTCGGGCGTTGCGGGCCTCACACATTCCTGATCGCCTAAAGGAGTCTGGAGAGTTCTGTGGCAATTACACCCAGCGCCTCAACACCGACGACATCCTTGTGCCTGGGTATGCTGCCGAGGCATGCGGCGGAGAGGATAAGCATGTTGTTGCACGGGTCAGCAGCGCTTGTGCTTGTATCCCGACACCTGCTGTTCCGGAATTACCAAGAACTACTACTCGTCCCCCGGTTCCGACGGTGCTGCCCCCAAAGAAGCAGTAGTAGATGACTTGATGTCAAGCCGTCGCCCGACATGGTGCTGCACAACTTCCAGATTAGAGTAAAACTGAATGATGTAGTTCTTCATTCACGAGTCTCCCGTTTTCCCTGAGTTGCTCTAGAAATCCATAAAGCGAATCAAACATTTATAGTGCCAACTTAACAAACCACGTAAGATCTCCGTTCGACTGCGAACCCCAACCGCCAAACTTGGTCCTTCATTCTGAGGATATGAAATAACTAATGCAAGCGCGAGAAGAAGAATAGGAATTCAAGCCGCATCGATCCCCAAGCACCAATTATGATAAAGCTGTCAGCTAACCCATGACCATAATGGCCACAAATCTGGACCTCGTTGGCCATTTCCTTCAGAGGACTTTTTGGTGCAATTGAGAGAGTGGGAGACCGGCATGAACCTCCCTACAGCTGCGAGATTGAATCAGATACTCGACGTAACCACTGGAAAAAGTATTCACGAACCTTTGACCCCTACTTCATGCACATTGGGTCCTTCGTATGGTGGCTCTAGTACAAGTAGCCTCGGGCGGACGATCTCAGGTGTCACCTCGTGTGGGATGCGTACGACCATAGGAGGGCGTGACGAAGAAGAGGCAGATTTGCGGCTCGCCTTAGCGTGGGCTTGCTCTGGAGATTGTTGGTTGAATTGCGCCATCTTGACGATTTTCCTAGGATCAGAAGTTCGTGCGATGCGGCCAGGATTGTAGAAGAAGGCAGGCAGTGGCAATGGTGGGTTTTGGGCAGGAATTCCGGTGACTAATAGAACTGCCCAAACCATCTTAAGTGTCAATTTCAGGCCGAAAACAATGTTTGCTCGATCTCCCGGACATTGACTGTGCCGCCTAAGGGTGCAGGGGGTTCAACTGACCGGGACAGTCGGACCCCCACCACCGCCAACAGCAGCCATCTCCAGAACAAGTTCCTAGACCAGGGTCGGCGCCAATAAAACAATGCCCATGAAATCAACGAAGCACGGCTCGTTGGCCGTGGACTTACACACGCGTTGCGGTGTCTACAATTTTGGAATGGCAAAACCAACAGTCAACCTACAAATGTACCAGGCTCGAGAGCTCAATTAACGGCGATACGGAGTATTGCGTAGATCCATGTGCGCGCCCCCGCACCAATGAACCATCACGTGGTTTCCAAACACTGTGAGTTCGGAAATGAGCTTTTGGGTGGCAAAAAAAGACTGCCGCGACGATTGGACGGGTTTACGAGGAGCTGTGGACCAATGTTGGTAATGGATCCCTGACCGTTTGGCACGAAGAACCAATCGGGGATGGGCCGGGAGGCTCTCTGCGGAGATCCCAGACGCCATGCTGCAGCGTTCAGGGGATGCCAATAATGATTATCGAAAGAACTTCTCACTGTTCGTACTCTTTGATGACGGATCTGCTGCATGACTCCTCATCGCTGTCGCACACAGCTATGTGTGCCTGTGGCTTGGCAATATTCGCATCGAATGTCTACAAACAAGGAGTGACGTCTAGTTCAAGAGGTAAAGGACGCAGTGCTGTTCGTAACCAACGATCTCCAAGTGACGGCAAGCAAATGGCACTGCAGCAGGCAACAAATCGAACGAAGGTACTCAGAGATTGCAAAAGCAGACTGCTAAGTCACGGCAGGGACCACGCCCCACTACGTTCAAGGTTGGCATTTACGTGGTGTGACAATTAGGCATCTTCCGAGGCTTCAACATGGGCCTCTTACGGTTGAATTCATGTCTGTGTGTGTGTGTTTTACGTCCGTGGTGCCTCGGAATCGAGTAAAAGACGCTCTGATGTTTATCTATTCCACGCAAGCATACAATTCAGAGTAGAACGAACTCTTGTCAATGAGCTGAAGGCGAAGCACAACCGCAGAAAATTGTTTCCAAGTAGAGATGCGACGCTTGAACGAGCCAAGAGGCGAATAATCGCTATTTGTTTGTCTCATTCCGTCATTGCTTTCATGCATGCAGACAGAGAACACGAGTGTCGAGAATGACGGGTTATTCACCATTCTCTGTCTTCACTTGCGTCACAGCTTTCTCGAAGTCCGGAATTTCAGAAGCTCCTTTAGCCGCATGCCCCCAAACAATAATTCCACCCTCATTGACAGCCCAAGCTCCAGAGGTTTGCCAGCGATTTCCGCTCTCTGTTGGTCTATTTTTGATACCCTCGTTCCATGCCAGACTGAAGACTTCACTCAATTCTCCCGGGCTCAGGACGTGTAGGAAAGAGGATATGCCAAGGCCCCACTTGGCGTACACAGTGCGGTCTTCGTCAACGACGACGTCGACCGGACTGGTATCTCCAACTCCTCCGACTTCCGCAAGCCATTTCGACGTATGTAGCTCCGAGGAATGGGACACAGCGATGAATTTGACGTCGGGGTTTCTGCCAGCTGCGTCGCGAAGTTGAAGGAACGTCTTTTCGGCGACTTGTGTTATTAGCATTGAGAGTAGCCATGCAGCAGGGGTAGTGAACGCACATGGACAGCCGCAATGCCGGAGGAAGGCAATTACGGTGGGCTTGAAGTCGGAGCGAGGGAACGGCACTTGCAACGTAGTCGGCGCCGCATGTCCCAATTCCGGGGATGCAGAAATCGGACCTTGAGCAGGGGTGATCCAAGACCAGAATTCTTGGATTAAGGTCATTGTGCTTGCGATCGTGCTGGCAGGTGGGCTATTCCACAAAGCTCAATCTGGCGCGATCGGGTAAGACGATAGCCGACCGCTCTTTAAAGTAATCATGATGCGGCTATGGATGGTTGGTTCGTGTGCGTCATCATCCTTGGCTAAACTCCATTGGGAGTAGCGGCGATCCTGGCTGCTTGTGGAGCCAAAACATGTCGACATGATACCTGGAGTTTAAAAAAGGGTCACCCTATTTTGATAACTTCGAGAAAAAGGGTTGCTATCGTAGCGAATAAAGACGGGGACACAATAAGAAAGCAGTGAGGCAGACGCCAACCGCGAAAATATCACACATGTTGAAGTCTAGCCGAAATAAGAGGTTTCCTGCTCCATAATAAAGACAACTAGGGCAGGTGATGGCCGAGACACAAATTGTGAATGATGCCACTATGCATATCCATAGATGAGGAAAACTCAAAGGTTATATCTTGGGATTCTACATGATACCCCTCTGTCCGTAGTCTCGTACATCCCAAGGAGGGTCAATGGTGGCCTTTCCACGGTTGCATACCTCTTTCAGCGCCGATTGCGCCTCTTCACTTTCAAAAGGGACACACGGAATGCCCAGGCCGCCGTCGACTCCATCGCAGATTACCACCGCCTCCCCGCCACAAGGGCTCTGCACGTCAAATCCCTTGAACTTCATATCCCTGCACCGCCCCTCTTCATTCGTTGAGCAACTCACCCTTGCAACAGCCCTCCCCTTGCTCCCACTTGAGATACCCCGGAAGTTTTCGAAGAGCACATTACTGACCTTCATCTTGCTTGGAAAGCGGTTACAAGTTTCCGAGTCAACGTTGAAGTAACAACTGTCCAACAAGATAGGCCAGTCGTCATTCTCAGACCAAAAGTTTCGAAATGTCACATTCTCCACAAACCCAGTCGCGACGTTTTCCCCAGCCCAGACCTTGATGCGGGCACCATTGTTTCCGTTCAGCATCCTGACGTTCTCAATCACAACGTCCTTCACCAAAACATACTCTCCCTCATACTGTCCAAGGCTTCCCAGTGACTGCCCATGAGAGTTATTACAGTACATCGTATTGACATGGATGTCTGTATTATTGCTCTTCGGCGAGAAGCAATCGTCGTCTGAGTCAACCCAAACGCGCTCGATACGAATATGCTCAACGTTGAGAGAGTTGAAAAAATCGCCATTCTTTGGTTCAACTGTGGAATTGTTCGACTTTGCCTCAATGATGACATCGCGGTATGTGATGTATTTGGCTGAGGAAGTATCAGTGTCTGCGGCTGCATCTTGGATAGGAAGGTGGATTTACAGTTAACAATGAAATTATGCCAAACTGGGGAATCTTTCATCAGAATCCCCTCAACGGTCAAATTCTCAATACCCTCCGCATAAAAGAGAATGGGTCTCAGATACTCATTGTCTGGGTCCAAGATTCTGGTCCAAAGAGTTAGTCCCATGTTTTGCACAAGATTCCAGTTGCTCACTCCTGTCCAGAGAATTCATTCCACCACCTTTGCCCTTGGCCGTCAATGACACCCTCGCCATGGATCCATACGTCTTTACCGCCCCATTTCCAGAACATTAGTGATCTTTGAAAGGGATGCTGATGAGCGTTGGCTTGCCAAAATTCAACGTCGTCGGTAAACTTAATGGTTCCCTCAAGGCGGATGTGGATATCATGAAGAAATGTCAAGTCAAGTGGTTTGCCGATCACAAATGTCTGACCTGCAGGAAGATACACAGCCCCTCCATTATTCGCACGCATAACAGCGTCTAAAAAGTGATCAGAGACATCGTCAGTATCGTTCACTGATGATTTCGGCGTGAAAGATGCGCGGCATGGGATAGTCCTCTTGGGCAGAGGATGCTTAAGGCGAATCTCTTCAGCTGTACGAGGTATATTCAACCCTGACGTATAGAGGACGTTGCTCAGGATGACCAAAAGAGCCACAGAAAAGTACTTCATCTTGATGATAACTTGCTGCCGTTGGGCCAAGTGTGAAATATTGAGCAACATAGAGTCTATTTATACACACCTGCGACTCCAGCAATCTCGTGTATCACAACGAGCCCACACCGGTACACTTTCCTACTTGGTGACCAGGGCTTTGGTTGCCCAGGACGCTATGTGGGCCATGGTATCTTGGAGCAGAGTCCTCGACGAGTTGATTGATGGAGTCTTATTCCTTCCTTCTACCCGACCTTGGCGGTTCTTGGCACGGGGAATCTTTCTCCTGACGTCTGTTCCCACAGGCATGCGCAATGCCTAGACTCTTGGAGGCTGATTTCATTGGCACTTTCGGGTCTCGGAAGCCTGCCTAGAGCCGCCTATGGCCACATTGGCATAGATTCAATCCAATGTGCCGGGGTAATTTCAAGACAGGGGCCTAGCTTGAATTCCAAAAGAAACAGCACATTATGAATGAACGTACGAATTAACGAGAATTACGACATCAATGCAAATCATAAGTTAACATAAGGTGCTGGATTCATTATCCCAACCCCTCTCAGCTTGCTCGTATGCGTCGTACGCAAACAACCAGCGCTGGGCTTCAGGGCAAAAGAACCTAATTGGAAACGGCCCGCGTATTTCAGCTCCCAGCTGTCCGACCATGTATCTGTCCCTCTCCCTCTGTTCCTCGCCATCGGACAGATGGAGTTCATCCCGTTGGCGGAATGCCTCCTCCTGGATCCAACGGGTTCTGTCGTTTCGCAAACGCTGATACACCTTCGCAACTACAGGAAGAAGCTTGGTCTTGTTTGCTTGTGACACCTTGCCAAGTAGGTGTCCTAAAACGGCGCCGTCCTCTAGACTCGAGTTTGCCCCTTGCGCTAGGTATGGTAGCATTGGATGGCAACAATCGCCTGCCATGAAGAAAGTCCCGCTATCATTAGCCAACTGGGACAGAGGCTTGGCCCACATTAGCTTCCACTTGGTCACCTCTTTGCTCGCCCGTAGAAACTTCAGAAGCAAAGGGTCCCAGGGGAGTGCAGAGCTGATCTCGGCTTGAGTCCCACCAGTCCTGGACACCCCATCAGGCAAGTCGTCCGGTCGAAGAAAGACCAAGTTGAACATGGTGCCTTCACGCAAGGAATACCCTACAACGTGGGAAGACGGCCCAATCCAGAAATTCAAAGCAGGACGGCTGATGAATTCTCGTAGCTCGTCCTTATCAGGACCGCTGAGCTCATCAACGGAGATGAGAAGCCGGTACGCCAAATCTCCCGTCGCGATAGGCGGATGGTCCTTCCCCGCGAACTCGCTGCGAATCGTGGACCACAGGCCGTCTGCGAGAAGAACAACGTCCCCGTGGATTATTGAACCGTTTTCGAGAGTCACTGCGGCATCGTTGAATTCGACTGACTTTACTGAGGTGCCAAGCTTTATAGTCACACCCAGTTCGTCAACACACTTGGCGAGCATGGCGTTTTGCAGGTCAGCTCGGTGGACATCAATAATCGAGGCGCCACAGCGGCGTTGTAAGAGCTGCTGCAGGAGAGGCTCATGTGCTAGCAGCCTCGAGCCGTCGTACCGTCTTACACTCATGGTGTCCGGCAATGCCGTAGGCAGTTCTTTCATTACATCCCACTTCTCAAGGAGACGAACGCCATTGGGAGTAAGCTGGATGCCCGCCTGCGAGTGTATGAGTTAGATGCCATCGGTCTGATGTCTCTGCAAGATGTGTGATCCAACTAACGCCAACTTCTCTGAGTTCCTTTGCAGATTCGAAAATAGTTACTCGATGTGATGTGTTGGCAAGCTTGATTGACAAAGCAGCCGACAGCCCCGCGAGTCCTGCACCGACTATGATAACGTGAAAATCGTTTTCGAGGCTCATTGGTGACGCCATGCTGGACACGATGCATCCAAGTAGGATCAAGTCACAAATGTAAACGTCAATAAACTTGCCATCTGGCCATAAACCGAGGACTCGGTTAGCGGCACTAGACTCTTCGCACAGACGCACGATGACAGAGTTTCAGCGTATGTAACGAGGATTGCAGAAACTTTATGAATACGAACCGGGTCTAATCAATCAATTGGAATTCCGCAGGAGATAAGAACATGAGTGCATCGTCGCGACTATAAGGCAAGAACTTTTGGTTTTGCCTGAACGGGCGTTAAAGGAAAAGGGAGTTGCCTGCATTGTTCGTCTCATAATGCCGGCTATGATTTGCTGGTACATGTCGCGTAATAGACTTTACCCTCAATTTCACAGCTTTTCCAGCTTACGGAGCTACCCGCCGTAGCCTTCTGACTCGCAAATTTCCGAATGCACTGTTAATCCGAGTGCTCGAAGATGGCCGGGAATTAAGTTTGGGCACGTTCTTCACAATGAGACACATTGGGATGAGCGAAAAACAGCAAATAGTCTTCCAAAGAAGCCTACTTTCTGTAAAGAATTGAAACGATAGGAATATTTGAATGTTGTACTCACAGCTTACCGCTTTTGGACAATTCCTTGCGTACTGACGGCATACCGCTTTCGGCCATAACCTTCGATGGTCATAAGTTTGGAGTAGGACATCCCACAAGGATGGTTATGCTTGCAAGCCGAAACCTAGCCGAACTATCCATCCGACTGGCAGGAGCATGCCTGGGTGGACCCCGCGAGTTCTTGGAAATGGGAACCTTATCAAGCTATTCCAGACGCCTGCTGTTAAGACGGCTGGGAATTTCCCGTTGCTAGACCATTGCCACATTTTGAAGTTTTGTAACATACTCATAGGCCTGGTGCGTGAAACCGTACTTATTCTTTTTCTAGACTTTTCTAGACTGAACTATTGCTACATGGACTATAGCATTACCTCAACTATGCCCACCAGACTTCTGACTGGCCAAATCTTGTTGATCCTCAATCCAGCCCTGGTGACCAGATCTTTGATTTCGGATGCAGTTCTCTCGATCCCATTATTCTCTGCCATCATAATCATTCCGAGCACATGGTTGTATTGGCACCAATAGCCATAGTTGGCAGGCAACAGATCCGGAGCCGAGGGCACATCTGGAGATCCGCAAGTAGTATTCAGCACGCAATCAGCGAGGAGGATCCTCGAATTGGGTCTCATGGCGACCTTGAGCGCTTTGAGAATTTTGAGGCACGGCTCATCCGACCAATCATGCCTTGCGACCGTTAGCTGTTGTTGCAGGCTCTGAGAGACAGAGGACTTACAGGATGCGACGAAGCCAATATACGTCTGCGCCAACAACAGGGTTAGGCTGGAAAAAGTCGTGGTCCATGAAGGTGACTTGGTCATCTTTCAATGCCCACGGCGCATGAATGGGAAAGACTTCATTCTTTCCTTGACTGATAACTTCAGGACGGTCCTGCACGATGAACCGCAAGTGAGGGTGGGCTTTCAGCATTTGAAGTGCGAAACCTCCTGAATGGACATTAGCCAATCAAACACGTTTAGTTCATTAGAAGGTTGCGAGCGTTGCGTACCAACCCCGCCACCCACGTCTACGACGGTGGCACCGTTTCCGAGGTTGCTCCAGGGATAGTCCAAAACATGAGCGGGACTATTGACCGATCCGCTACCAATCATCGCTTTTCCGAAGTTTGCCAGTTCAGGGCGGGATATCAACCCGTTGGAGTCTGGCCCCTCCCAGTTGCCGTCTTCAGGCCTGGAGAAGAACCCCGGGTAGCCAGTACCGCGACCTCCACGTTCGAGCTCCTCAACTGTGACTTTCTCGGCGAACCAGTCGAACTGCGTCTTGTCCGTGCCTAGCGCGATCTGGAACGCTGTCTCGTCTTTTTCATAAGAGGATCCAGTCGGACCCAGAAGGTATTTACCTAAGTACTCAGATGTGAATGAGTGCATGCTCCTATGTGAGTTTTCGCAAAATCAGCCTACGCCCTTCAAAATACTTTCTATATGATACGTACGCTAACTGCACCAGAGCCCTCAGCGGCTCATTGTCCACTAAGACTTGTGAAATGCGGTTGTTCGTGAAGCGGTTCTCTTCAGGCTCATTGAAGATGTGAATGGTACACAAGGTTCGCATGAGGCGAGCTGTAATAGACAAGGATCCCACTCGTTAGAGGGCCTCCACAAGGCCGTTGCCAGTTATCTGTTCCGCTTGAGCTGAACTTACCAAGTTTGCGAGACTCAATCCCGGTACGCTCTGACAGCATACTGACGTGGATTCCTTGCTTTCCGGCGGCTGTCAACTTGTCTGGAATTTTCATCTCAGTGGCTAGAATTAGTGCTCTGGCTTGGACGGCCAGAGTCATAACTTGCTGGATCCTGTGAGAAGGCTCTGCCACAAGCGCTATGAGTGTGCCGGCGATGGCCTCGATTCTTCTTTGAGCCTCGAACAAATCCGGACTGGGCACTGTTTGCTGTGCAGAATCCTCCGTGACAGACGAATTACGTTCCTTCTCCCATTGTTGCGTAACGGTGAGCACGGATTCACGGAGTAGGTCAACAAGCCCCAAAAGCTGTCGAGCCTCCGATTCAGAGCCTGGAGATCGTGACATGGTGAAGTGCAGAGTGACAGTTGTCTAGTCTGAGGTTTAGGAAGACTTGCAGTAAGATGGGAGAATGATATCGCGATCTGAACTGAAGACGAGATGATCATACAGCCAACCACAAAGGAAAATCTTGAATTTAAATGCGAATATGACACCTGTTGGCAGAAACTTCATGCCGTGGGAGTGTGGGTGAGAGGAAACTGTAGTCCAGAGGAGGGCAACAGATCGACAAACCATCGGCTTAGGAGCCTGGGCTCGTCACCTGGACCGTGGGCGCGGCCCGGGATGGTGTACACCCAATTCAGCGAGGCATTTTCTGTGTCGGGAGCCCCCGAACCTAAGCCCGGACCACTTCCTGTTTCAGCGAGAACGAGATAGAAGCCTGCCTCGGAGCTTGTGAATATCTTTGGTCATTCGGTGGCACGTCTGGCGAAGTCTGAAGCAACCTTGTAGACGACCCCAAAACATGCAGCCGCCTGTGTAAACTCTGCTACTCGTACGGCCCACCGCCGGATATTTTCACACATCACGAAATCTCCAAAGACTGTGCATGAAACCAATGCGAAATGAGTCAAGGAAGGAACCCGGCAGTTGTGCAGCCAAGCTATTCCATCGATAAGAGCTTCATTGATCAATTACCCGCGTGCGTTTCAGGACGGTCAGGGTTTCAAAGTGGTGGAATGCCGTTGTAAAGAAGCACTAAAGTCTCCGATGCTGCAGTAGATGACAAGCGCTGAGAAGCTTGTGATATTGAGTGACGGCTGAGCAGGCTACAGACTAACCTTCATTGAGACAAAACCCTTCTAGCCCTCCAACTTGGCACCTTTGGTTTGGTAAATTCAAAAGAGTTCCCGCATTCATCTCATATTCGCCCAAGTCAGAGAATCATTCTACAAGCCCTTCCAGCATGTCTCTGAAAGCTATCTTTTTTGGTCCTCAGGCCTCTGAAGGCTTTAGAGGTTTGGCTTTGCATGACATCAGATCAGCCTTGCGGCAAATACCCAAACTACAGCCACTCTTGGATTCAATCTCAGAGCTACCTTCGCTATTTCAGTGTCTGGTAGCTCATGAGCCATGCCTTGAAAGAACGCCTGGCAGATGGTGCGCTTTGCAGTTGACACGCTGGCTGGAGCACGACCTTGATGTCATTGAAGACCAGATCAAAGAATACTGGAATTCAATCTCAGCCCCTCTGTCTGTCCTTTTTGGGATGGTGCAATATTTCCAGTATTTGCAGGACAACGACATTTCCCACCAGCAGTTACTTGGCAATATCTCAGACGGCGGATGCCAGGGATTCTGTCTAGGACTATTATCGGCTACCGCAATTTCGAATTCCAGGGACGAGACGGCCTTGGTCCATAATTTTGCTGTGGCACTCCGCCTTTCGTTCTGCATTGGAGTGTATCTGGATTTCGATCAAACCCAAGCAGGGGCAACTACAGCATTCGTGCTACGCCGCCAACGAGGATTGGACATAGACGTCAACCTTGCAGCTTCCATGTTGGAAGAAATAAATGTGAGCATTTCCCTTCTTTCAGAAAGCAGAAGAATGTTTGCTGATATGTAACGGAAAGAATGAGCCATGCGGGACTGCCGCGCAAGTTCCAGAGAATGATTCTCATGCCACTTGCGTAAGCACTCCATGAATGAACATGTCTTTCTCTCATCTAATGTATGTTCAGACACAGTCATACGTTGCAACTAGGATCGATCACGCAAGCTGCACAATTATTGTACCAACGGCGAGGGTAGCAGTACTTCACCAACATATCCCTTTAGAAGACTACACATTGAAGCCTCTGAGTCTCAGAGCCCGCTATCACACACCAGCGCTCAGCCACTGGAAACAACAGTTGTTGGAATTTTGCGCCCAAGAATCAAAGCTCCGATTTCCAGAGGTCGACGGGCTGGTAGTTGCCGTATGTTCCAATCGGGACGGCCGGACTCTTGGTGGCCGACCACTACACGAGGAAATACTGGAGTGCATCATGACGGAGGTGGCCGACTGGCACTTGGTTGTAAGCCAAGTTGCCTCGAAACTCAGACCCGGACAAGATGCAAGGAACGTTTTAGAACTGGGCCCGGTCCGGTGCCTATCAAGTTCACGGTTCCTGGGTCCCTACTCAATCAGACCACCGCTAGGCCTGTCCAATCAAACCGAGCCTTTGATAGGCTCGACACCAGCCAGAAGCTATCCAGATACTGCAGTCGCAATTGTGGGCATGGCCTGCAGGTTTCCTGGAGCGGACTCTTTGGATGAGCTATGGAACGTCATTGAATCTGGCAAGTCGCTTTGTCAAGAGATACCGGCCGAAAGGTTTTCGACGAATGGTCTTCGACGAACACCTCAAGTTCAGAGATTTTTTGCCAACCTTATCAACGACGTTGACGCCTTTGACCATCGCTTCTTCCGAAAGACAAGTAGAGAGGCATCTTCAATGGATCCACAACAACGCCATCTGCTCGAAGTCGCCTACCAGGCTCTGGAGTCTGCAAACTACTTCAACGGTCCTAAGCCACCTAGCAAGGATGTCGGCTGTTATATCGGCGTGTGCGCCAACGATTATGCTGACAATGTCGCATCGCACCCACCCAATGCATTTTCGACACTGGGAACACTCAGAGCGTTTTTGGCCGGAAGGATCAGCAACTTTTTTGGTTGGACCGGCGAATCATCCACGATCGACACTGCATGCTCCTCATCGGCTGTGGCTATCAACAAAGCGTGCACCGACATCATTGCTGGGAAATGCACAGCTGCTCTAGCTGGGGGCGCCAATGTCTTCACAAGCCCCAACTTTTTCCAGAACCTCAATGCTGGAAAGTTTCTTAGCACCACGGGTCAATGCAAGTCATTTGACGCAAAAGCCGACGGCTATTGCAGAGGAGAGGGCGTTGGCCTCCTCTTGCTCAAGAAATTATCAGAGGCGCAAGCATCGGGAGACAAGATCTTGGCTGTGATCCCCGGCTCTGCTGTCAGACAAAACAGCAACGAGACGTACATTACTGTCCCCCATGGGCCCTCGCAATCTGATCTTTACGAAGAGGTGCTACGATTCTCGCGCATGACGCCCGACGACGTTACTTATGTTGAAGCTCACGGAACTGGGACGCCTGTGGGTGACCCGATTGAGTTTGAAAGTATTCGACGAACGTTTGGTGGTTTGCGGCGTCAGACGGAACAGCTTTTGCATGTTGGATCAATCAAGGCAAACATCGGGCACACGGAGAGTGCGTCTGGGGTTGCTGCTGTGATCAAAGCTGTGTTGATGATTCATCACAAACGGATTCCCCCTCAAGCCAGCTTCACGACACTGAACCCTCAGATCACACTTTCGGAGTCGGACAGAATCGCCATCACCACAACTGGCATTGAATGGAAATCTTCGGGGCCACTGACAGTTTGTGTTAACAACTATGGAGCCTCGGGAAGTAACGCAGCACTTATCGTTACAGAGCCGCCATCGCCATGTGTGGCCATTACTCGAACGACGAACAACAGCCGCCTTCCGAAGGCTATCCCGTTCCCATTCATCGTTACAGCCTCTAGCCAACAGTCCCTGTCTGCCAATATTGGTGTTCTGCGCAAACAAATCCTGAAGCGATTTACGATGTCGCCCAACCAACAGGAACAAGCCCGCTTGGCTGATCTTTCCTTCAGTGTCGTGTCAGGGCAAAATCCGTCGCTGCCTTTTGCAGCCACTTTCGACGCCGCCAGCATGGATCAACTCATCGAGCGTCTTCATGAGTCCAGTACCTCGGACATTTGGAATGTAACTTTACCGAGTAAGTCTCGGCCTGTCGTCATGGCATTCGGTGGCCAGAATTCGAAGTTCGTCGGCCTTGATAAGGACACATACGAATCCTGTGCCCTTCTCCGGCACCATCTTGACTGCTGCCAGAACGAGCTTAAGTCTCAGGGATTTCCTGGGATACTTCCCTACATTTTCCAGTCCGAGCCAATCGAAGACCCTGTCATCTTGCATTCTGCACTCTTCAGCGTGCAGTACTCTTGTGCAAAGGCTTGGATTGATTCCGGTCTCACAGTCGCCAAACTGGTAGGCCACAGCTTTGGCGAGCTCACAGCCACTTGTGTCTCGGGCATATTGTCACTATCCGACGGCCTCAAGCTTGTGGCAGGGCGTGCGCGACTGATGAAGGAGAAATGGGGTCCGGACCCTGGTTCCATGCTACTTGTCGAGACTGATCCGGTTTCTTTGGGTCGACTCTTGAACTCAGACACAGTCAATGTCGAAGTGGCCTGCCACAATGGTCCACGACTGACTGTCATTTCCGGATCGAAATCGGAGGTGGAACAAGCTGAGCAGTTCATCAAACTGGATCCCACAACTCAGAATGCAAAGTCAAAGATTCTCGACGTCCCGTACGCCTTCCATTCGCGCTTCACGGAGCCAATTCTTCACGATCTCGAAGTTCTTGCTGGGGGACTCGTTTTCCGCAAACCGTTCATACCTGTCGAGACCTGTCTTGATCGGGATACGGAATGTTTACCCTGGCCTCAACGTGTCAGAGAACACACCCGAAGACCAGTATTCTTCCATCAGGCTGTCAGCAAGATTCACGAGGAACTTGCTGGCTGTTGCTGGCTGGAAGCCGGGATGAACTCTGGCATTACGACCATGGCCCGCAGAGCGTTGGGAGAGGAAGCATCTGAACACACATTTTACGGGATGAATTTGCGGGATAGGACACCACTGCGAGACTCTTTGACTCAAGTCACCATTGGTTTGTGGAAAGAGTCGCAATCGGTCACTTTCTGGGATTTTCATACTTGCCAGAGAGGGATGTACTCCTATGTCCCGTTCCTACCCCCGTATCAGTTTGAGAAGAGTCGCCACTGGCTTGAATGGAGAGACACAGTCGGACCCTTAGAATTCGACTCTTCAGCCAAAAACAACAGCACCACGCCCGCTCCACGTCGCCTGCTTACTTTAACGCGGAAGACTGAAGCCAATCTCGAATTCAATGTCGATCCTCAGCATGACACGTGGAAGGGCCTTATACAAGGGCATGCAGTTGTGGGCCAGCCCCTGTGCCCAGCCCCGTTATACATGGAACTGGCGGCACAAGCTGCGCTTACGGCTTTGGGGCACGAAGAGACAAAAGGATTCTCAGCAACATGGAAGAAGATTCAAATCGACGAAGCCCTCGGCCTGGGGGAAGGATGCCGTATCGTACTTTCCCTCTCCAAGATCGAACACTCGCAGTCTTGGAAGTTCTGCGTGATGTCTTCATCTCTGGCAGATCCTCAACTGCGGCCAAGCATGCATGCATCAGGAGAGGTTACTCTTGTATCCAAACAAGACGCCGAAGACGACTCTGAATTTCCCCAATACGAAACCGCACTTCGCCACACTGTCCGACAGCTTCAAGCCGCTGATGTAACCGACACCGTAGCACTTAGGGGTCCGCTGGTTTACTCAGTGTTTTCCCGTGTCGTCACGTACGATGAGATGTACAAGGGTGTCTGGGACATTTTCGCTAAAGGGGATGAAGCGATCAGTCGAGTCAAGCTGGCTTCCGAGTGCAACCTCGAAGGATTTGACAAGATGATAACGGACCCGTTGGCTTTGGACAACTTTGTCCAGGTGTCTGGCATCCATGTGAACGCTTTGAGTGGACTGTGTTCTGAGAACGAGGTTTTCGTTTGCACCCGAATCACTAAGGTGGAGATCCATCCAAGCTTTTCGCTGACTCCGTCGAGACAATGGAAAGTTCTGTCCATGTACCGCGAGTACGACCCGAGGAATATCGATAACGACATATATGTTTACGACGAAGCAACCGGAAAAATTGTTGTTGTCATTCACGGCGCGAGATTCACTCGGATGTTGATAAAATCTCTTGTTCGAGCGTTGTCTTCAAAAAACGCAGGGGGGAAAGTCGGCGGCGTCGTTGTCGAAGATTTTCAAGAGAAGAAGATGGAGGACTCTGTCCCCGCGATAGACTTTCAATCTCAAACAGCCGTGTCACGCGCAGACGACACCCCATCCAAAGTTGTCAGCGACGAGGATGTCTTTTGCCTCCTGGCAAGAGTTGCAGAGATCGATCTCGGCGCCATCGCAAACGATGCTTCGCTTGCTGACCTGGGCATTGACTCCCTCTTGTCGAGTGAGGTGCTCAACGAAGTCAACGAAACCTTTTTGGTCGATTTGAGTGCGGACGAGTATCAGAGTCTGCTCTCCGTAGGAGATTTGGTTCAATGCATACGTGCTCGCAGCCCGTCGGTCAACGCCATCAGGTTGATGACCAGTCCGCCTACCCGAGGCGCTTCCCCCACATTCAGTGAGGCCAACGACCCCGAAAGCACTGGTTCGTCAACGCCAACATCTACTTCTAGTGAGTTCGCGGTCATGAAGTTGGAGTCAAAAACACAAAGTTTCGACGATGTGGGGGTTTCAGAAAGTCTGCGCAGGGCATATGAAGTGTTCAAAGACATCAAGAATGGGTCCGATGACTACGCGAAGACCTACGGTTTAATCAGATTTTGGGACGACGTATATCCCATTCAAGCTTCTCTGGTTACGCAATACGTGGTCGACGCTCTCCCGCAACTTGGATGCGATCTATCAGTCTTCAAGGCTGGGGATGAACTCCCAACCATTCAATATCTCCCGAAGTACGCTCTTCTTGCATCGCAACTTTTCGAGATCCTGGAAGACGCAAGACTGGTCCGTCGAAAAGGAAATGTCTGGGTCCGCGCTGATACGCCTGTCCCTAAGCAGTCTGTGGTTGAAAGGCTGCAGGAAGCCGTGCAACGATTCCCTCGACATGCATCCGAACACAAACTCCTCAACATCACGGGGAGCTCTTTGGCGGACTGCATGACTGGAGTAGCTGACCCTCTGACTCTGGTGTTCAGGAACAAGGAGAATGCCAATATCCTGGAAGATGTGTACACCAATGGCCCCTTCTATCTAGCAGCCAGCAAACAACTTTGCTCTTTTCTCGAGAAAGCATTAAGCGCTGTGAAAAAAGGCAACGGAAAACCGATTCATATTCTTGAAATTGGTGGTGGGACAGCATCGACTACAAAACACGTCCTCCGGATGTTGGGAGATGCCGGAATACCATTCGTCTACACTTTCACAGACGTATCCGCGGGACTGGTCGCTGGAGCCAAGAAAAAATTACCCGGCTTACTGAATCAATCAACTGGACGGCTAGAGTTCCAGACATTGAACGCCACAAAGAGTCCCCCTACCGATATGACTGGAAAGTTTGACCTCGTCCTCTCAACCAACTGCATCCACGCCACTGCTGATTTATCCGTTTCACTCACAAATATTCGACAAATGTTAAAGCCACACGGAATTGTCACGCTTGTTGAGTTCACCAAAAACCTGTTCTGGTTTGATCTTGTCTTCGGACGTGAGTTTGATCCATTCTTTCTGTAGATCTCGAAAATGCTAACCGCTTTGCAGTCATGGATGGCTGGTGGTCGATGACGGATGGAAGAAAGCACGTTCTTGCCGACGAGTTCTTTTGGAAGAGAAGCTTCGAGCAGGCGGGGTTCGGGCACGTCGATTGGACCGGAGGCGAGCTGGCTGAGTCTAACATGCTTCGCATCATCACGGGATTCAAAACGCGCCCCGATGTTGGAGACATCGTCCCGAAGAAACGCTTCGACATCCAAACGGTGATGTTCAAACAGACTGGACAGAATCGCCTATTTGCCGACGTATATCTTCCGCCTTCCGATGAGTTGATGTCACAAACATGGTCAGTCGGTAAGTGATTTTCCGTCCTGATACAGTTGAATAGACATCGGCTTGATTGTCACAAGATCCAGAGCGCTGAACAGAAGTTTAGGCCTTCTCTTCCACGGGGGCGGTCACATCAGCCTCTCGCGCCATGACATCAATACCAAGCATGTCCAGCGTTTGCTTGATAACGGCATCTTACCAGTTGCGGTTGACTACAGGCTGTGTCCTGAGATGCCTCTTCCGGAGGGTGCCATGGCTGACGCATGCTCCGCTCTACAATGGGCCCGTCATGAGTTACCCTTCATGAACTTGAACCGACCAGGTCTCCGCATTGGTCCCAAGGTTGTTGGGATTGGCTGGTCAAGTGGCGGTCACTTAGCCATGACTCTGGCGTGGACATCTTTGGAACAGAGGATCGAGCCGCCCAATGCGATTCTTGCATTCTACAGCCCTTCAAAATTGGAAGATGAGTGTAAGTCACCATGATTGACGCATCGAGACGTACACCGTGCTCGTGTGTGCCATGTTGTCTGGGCTTAACGACTGACGTTCCTGTAGCATGGTTTCAACCAAACTTTCCTTCTGGCACCCAAAGTCTTGCCAAGGGGGGTTATGATTTGCTTGAAGCTGTTCAGAACTATCCAATCACCGAAAGCCGAGTGATGAAAAATGGAAGGCCTGTTGCGCCTGGTAAGTGGTTGGGCCGAGGGCCTTCGGGGACCAACCCTCGGACAACGATCATTTTGCATGGAAACTGGAAAGGTCAGCTCTTGCCTATATGGTTGGACGGACTACCCAGCAAAGGGCAGATTCCGCAGTCAGCGTCCACGAGCGACTATGAGACGCTGCAAAGGCCGACTCGAGAGCGTATCATGGCCATTAGTCCACACGCCCAGGTCATCAACGGGACCTATCGCACACCTACATTCCTCGTTCACGGCACGGAAGACGACCTCGTTCCTGTCCAGCAAGCCAGAGACATGAGTGAGTCGCTTGCAGCGCACGGGGTTGAGTCAGGGATTGCGATCATTGATGGCGCGTCGCATTTGTTAGATCTTGATGAGGATTCAAATGGAAATATTGCGGCGGAGGTGGAAAGGGGATTTGCGTTTTTACGCCATGTAGTGGCATAGGCGATTGAGATTGAACGAGATTACAGGGCCTTAAGATTGTCTGAATTAAATAATGTTCGCAGTTATTAGGTTGAATTGCGCTGTGTGATGCCTTTCTACTAAAAAGGGTGATATGGAACAGCTGTGCGTCTTATACCCTTAGATAACAGGAGCACCTTACTGTTACGACCCGTTAGGCATAACACGTTGGAAACAACCCCGCCTGGAATCTCGGCGGCTAATGCGGGACATATGTAAGCAGTGACACAGGTATAACCAGGAACCATCGGAAAAGGAAGAACTATGGTACAGGTCACGTGACTTCGGGAACAGCACGGATACAGGGCAAGATGGATAGGTTGGATATGTCTACTATCCCAACTATCCATGGATATGTCGGATAGCGTGGATATCCTACATAGCCACCACGGGAGATGCTGTGCAGGACTTGTATATAGTATGACCCTGAGCCTGGCTCATGGTCA